GAATAGAAGAAAACACTTGTGCATGTATCTTGGTCAAGGCATGTGAGAGGGCTGTCACATAATCTACCATAGCATCCGACTGGATCTGAAGTTGTTGGGGAAAGTAACAACCTAACCTAGGTGCTGTGCCAAACAAAATTTCATAAGGTGACAGGCTGTATTTTCCCCTAGGAGTGTACCTTACACTAAACAATGCTAATGGGAGACTCTCGGGCCAAGGCATGTTAGTTTCTTGTGACATTTTAAGCATTCTGGCTTTCAGAGTGCCGTTCATGCGCTCTACCTTACTCTGTGGGTGATATGGAGTGTGGAATGCAAGGGTCACCCCCAGTGCTGACCAGACTTCCCGTGTTAGCGAGGCAGTGAAGGAGGTTCCTTGGTCACTCTCAATTACTTCTGGAACCCCGTAACGGCAAACAATTTCTGTCAAGAGATACTTGGCTGTTGTCCTCGCGGTGAGGTTAGTCACTGGGAAGGCCTCTGGCCATCCTGAAAACATGTCCACTATGACCAGTGCATATTCATGGCGTCCGCTCTTTGGCATCTGAATATGGTCAATCTGAATCCTCTGAAAGGGGTATTGTGGCTTGGCTAGATGATTAGGTGCAGTCTTTATGATCTTTCCAGGGTTGCACTTAGCACATATAGTACAAGATTTGCAATAATTCTGTGTTAAGGTAGTGATGCCTGGTGCTTCAAAATACTTGTCAATCAGTGAATTCATCAGGAGCTTTGATAGGTGGGCTGGCCCATGGGCCCATTGGACCACCGCTGGGTACATACTTCTAGGTAGACAGAACTTGAGATTAATAGTGTAAACTTCATCACGGAGTATTGCTCCTTTGTTCTTCCAACTCTGTTTCTCCTGAGGAGTGGCAGCAACTTGCTGTTCCTTCAGCAGCCTGAGGTCTGTAGGCAATGTTTGCATAGTATAAATTGGTAATGCATCTGTGGCCACTCTTCTGTCCACTTCCCATCCTTGTCGTGCTGCCTCTTTGGCTGCCTGATCAGCCAGGCTATTGCCACGTGCTTCTTCTGTGTCTAATCTTCCATGAGCTTTTACTTTCAATACTGCCACTTCTGCTGGGAGTTCCAATGCGTCCATCAGTTCTGCAATGGCTGCCCCATGCTTTACTGGGGTACCGGTAGCTGTAAGGAATCCTCTGGTCTTCCAGATTAAGCCAAAATCGTGTGCCACTCCCAGGGCATATCTTGAGTCCGTATAAATGTTGACTCGTAGGCCTTCGGACAGTTTGCAGGCCACAGTCAAGGCTATTAACTCGGCCTCTTGGGCAGATTTAGTTGGTTGTAGGGCAGCTGCTTGTAATATTTGACATCCTGTGGTAACTGCATATCCAGTGTGGTATTGTCCTTGTTCGTCAGCAAACCTTGAGCCATCCACAAATAGTGTCTGATCCGGGTTGGGTAATGCAGCTTCATAAACAGTTGGTAGGTGTGTAGTTTCCATTTTCATTTGTTCAAAACAGTCGTGAGGGATATCAATAAGGTCGCAGTCTATGGTGGGTGGGTCCTCACAGGCCTCTATGTGGTACCTGGAGTGTCCTGTTGTGTAGTAGTTAATTGTCTTTTTATTTATTCCTGCAGAAGTCAGTTGTTCTGGAGTCATTTGGTTCCAAGTTTTGGCCTTCGGGCCTAGGGTCTCCCATGTGATGTCGTGGGATCTGGTGAGAGGTATGTGTGGGATAGCTGTTTCCCAATGGTGGTAGAGGTGTACTGCATTGTCTGGAAGATGTACCAGAATGAGCATGGTACCTGTGGAGTCCCAAAACAAGTCAGTCAAGGTAATTTGGATGTCTTTGAGCTGAAATAGTTCTTCCTCATAGTCCACGTCAGGGTTTGGTGTGTCCCTAAACCACAAGACACAGTGGAGTAGGGCCTCTGATTGTTCATCATCAGGGGAAGGTGTAAACACAGGCAATTGTAAATCTGCTCGGACCTCTGGGTTGATGTCCAGGCTGTACCAGTGATGCACTATTCCCCCCTTGGGAAGTGGCAGAAGAGTGGCTGGGTTCAGGGAAAGGCATCTCTGGAGTTTCACATTGTCAGGTAGGAGTAAGGATGTCTGTAGGCGAAGGTGGCGTTGTGAAGAAAGGTGTTTTGGGCGGATTTGCTGTAAGATTGCAGTAATATCGTGAGGGGCCAACACTGTGAGGTGATGGCCAAGAACAAAGTCATTGGTCTTGTCCAGGAGAGCACTGGCGGCGAACACCGCTCGGAGGCAAGAGGGGCTACCCCTTGCAACAGGGTCAAGCATGCAGGAAAAATAGCCAATAGGGCGTTGTCTTGAGCCATGTTTTTGGGTGAGGACTCCGGAAGCATGTCCTGATTTTTCAGAGACAAAAAGGTTGAAGGGAAGTTGGTAGTTCGGTAGGCCCAAGGCAGGTGCAGAAGCAATAGCTCTTTTCAGAGTGCGGAAACAGATGATAGTTTCTTCTGTGAGATGGAAAGGTTCGCTCCTGAGGGCATCATAGAGTGGCTGCATGAGTTTTGATGCTTCGGGTATCCAGGACCTGCAGTACGTGATTAGACCCAGGAAAGCATGGAGAGTGGTGGGGTGGCCCTCCACAGGGAGAACAACAGTAGCTAGAGGGCCCCCCCCATCCCCCGCAGACACTGCCATGGCAGGGGTTGCTGACACAGGCTTGCCGGTTACCTATTGTAATAAATCTAAATGGGCCTGGTCTGGTCCCTGGTACCGGCGGGAAGTAGAAGGGGGGTTAGCAGAATGCATGGGAGGGCGGGATGGGCGGAGGGTAGGACGGGGTTGGCCGTCTTGGAAATCATCATTATCAAACCCTTCTGCAGAGTGTGGAGTATACGTGCGAGCTTCTGATACAGGGGGCCGTGCTTGAGTGTATTCAGGAGGAGGAGGGGGGGGAGGAGGAGGAGGGGAAGGGTAGTTATGGCCGGTGACATGGGGACCTTGGTACCGGGGACTAGGCTGGCGGAACACCCTAGGCTGTGGGCAATCTCTTCTGAAGTGGCCTTGCTGATTGCAATTAAAACAGGTCCGGATTGTCATAATGGTCCGGTCCCGGGGGAAAGGGATTGGCGCAGGCAGTGCGTGGGGTGATTGAGTGTACTGTTGGGGGAATACCTGGGGGACCTGATTAGAACTAGCGATAGGTGTGGGGGCGGTGTACATCAGTGGGCTAGCCCTGCGCTGTGTGGGTTGTAAAACAGATTCTAGGCCCTTGGCTACTAACAAAAGAGTGTCTAGTGGAATAATTCTATACTCAGGGTGAGCTAAAATTAACCCCTTGCGAATGTGTTCTCTCAGTCCTGCCACGAAAGCTGCAGAGAGCATCTGGGTGTGTGCCTTGTTGTAAGTACTGAACCCTAAGTCCGAGAATGTCTGAGTCAACCTAGAATGGTACTTTTCAACGGTCTCAAGTTTGTCTTGGATTATATCATTAATGCAAGTAGCCTGGTCAGCTAGTTTATCCTGCACCCAGGCACGAAGTTGTTCACAGAAAATTTCACCAGAATGGAAATCAGTATCAGAAGTAAGTGGAGCATCACTAAAGCTCCGTTCCATGATTGGCCAGTATGCATCTCCGGCCTTAATTTCACATAAACTAATAAGGTCCCGCCATGCAGCGGAATAAGTCTTACGGATTTGAGCCACCCTGCGGAAAAAGGGCATGGGGTGCTTCTCAGGATCAGGGAGTGAAGTTACAAGGGTAGCGGCTTGGGAAGGGTTAAAAGTAACGTACATAGGTGGTGCACCATCCGCCCCATGGTTGATCTGAGTATACCCCTGGGGAAGTGAGTGCCGTTGGGGAAGCCTTTCCCCCCCCAGTTGGGGTTGGCTCTGGTCCACCATAACGACCTCCTCGGGCACTATTGTACCACGGTGAAGAATAGCCTCAGGGGTAGCTGTAGCGGGGGCAACTGGGAAGGGGGTGATAGGAGAGGTAATTGGGTGGAAACCCGAGGCTTGGGGGGAGGCACCCATCGCATAGGGCTGGTCCGAGGTCGCAGACACCTCGGGCCCAACCACCATGATTGGGTAGCTGGTGCTGGCGGAAGGGGCACGGGGAACTAAAGCCGTGGAAGGAGCCACCATGGGGGACGGCGGGGCTGGCCGTGAGAGGTGGGTATTCAGGACATGGGCAAGGGCAGAGATTGGATCGGAAGACTCGAGGAAATTAACGTGAGACAAGGGAGGAGTCAAAGGCTCGGGAGGAGGAGGAGGAGGTACATCGATGGGAGGCGACGCGGGGATTGCGGAATTAACCAGGGAAGTGACCGCAGTGAAAAGGGCGGAGATTGAAGTTGATAGGTCATTGGACGGAGGTGCGTCAAGGGTCGCCGAGGAAGGGGTTGGAGGGATAGGAACAAGGGGCTGTGGCAAAGCAACGTAGGCGGAGGGTGTGGTCGGCAAATCGGCCGCGGGAGGGAGGGATAACGAGGTAGAGGAGGCCGGGACTTCGGGAGGAGGAGGTAACACTGGAGGAGAGGTGGTAACAGGGGGCTGGGTTAGGGCGGTGAGGGCAGAGATTAGGGACGGCAAATCGGCCGCGGGAGGGAGGGATAACGAGGTAGAGGGGGCCGGGACTTCGGGAGGAGGAGGTAACACTGGAGGAGAGGTGGTAACAGGGGGCTGGGTTAGGGCGGTGAGGGCAGAGATTAGGGACGGCAAATCGGCCGCGGGAGGGAGGGATAACGAGGTAGAGGGGGCCGGGACTTCGGGAGGAGGAGGTAACACTGGAGGAGAGGTGGTAACAGGGGGCTGGGTTAGGGCGGTGAGGGCAGAGATTAGGGACGGCAAATCGGCCGCGGGAGGGGGGGATAACGAGGTAGAGGGGGCCGGGACTTCGGGAGGAGGAGGTAACACTGGAGGAGAGGTGGTAACAGGGGGCTGGGTTAGGGCGGTGAGGGCAGAGATTAGGGACGGCAAATCGGCCGCGGGAGGGAGGGATCCTGGGTCAGCAGGGAGACAGAGATTCGGAGGAATAGGGCAGGTGGGAGGGGCACGGGGTAAGGGAGTTGGATGTGTGATGGATGGAGAGGGTGAAGGAACGGAGGCTATCAAGGAAGGGGTACTCGGGGTTGAGAGAGAAGCGGAGGGGGGTGGTGGGACTTCAATGGGTGAGGTGAGGGAAGCCATGGTAAGGTCCAGAGTGGGGACGGTCACTTGGGGAGGCAGCGAAGGACATGAAAGCGGAGGGGTTTCGACAGGCATGTCAGGAGGATGGTTAACGAAGGGGGTTGGATCATAGGAGGGCTGAGACATGGGAGCAGGAGGGAATGAATGAAGTGGCACTGGGTAATAGTAGGAACCATCTGCACCGAGCACGGGGCACAGGGGAGTGGGAGCTGAAGACACACCCCCAGTAGGTGGGGTCTGTGTCGTGACGGGGGAAACAGGGCGGGAATTAAGTGTTGCGCTCCGGGCGCCATCATAGGGCGGTGGTCGTGAAACAATAGGAACAACATCATCATTGTGAACACTCCTGTGATAAACATACACAATTTGCCCCTCAACTTCCAGTTCTTCCTCGACCCATCCTTCTCTTTTCAACCCTCTAGCTACTCGGTACCAAGCCTCTGCAACTTTCGTGAGTCCATTATCCAACAACAACCCTTCCTTGTCTATAAGTAACTTCCTCCAAAACTCAGGTTGTAATCTCCCGCTGGGCAACATCTGGAAACCACACACCTTAGCAATCTTTTTAAGTTTTAGCATTGCATCTTCACCTGCCCTTTCTTTCACAATGTCACAAGCTAGCAAGCCCTTAGCAGGTCTAGCGTGTTCCTGTCCCATATTTGAGTAACCAAAGCGTGCCACACGTGGAAGACAAAGAAGTATAGTAAGTGTAGGGGAAAAAAGAATGTCTACAGTGCTCGACTGCCACGAGAACTTGAGCCCCGTGCGTCTTCCCCAAACGTAGACTAGTCACGGAGATCCGCCCACCCGGGGTGGTGGTCACGGACGGGAGCGAATGAGCGTGGGTGACTAACACAGCTCTGGGCAACAGGCACAGGAGAGATAAAGAACAAAGGAGAAAATGAACGTGGCTGCGCTAATGAGAAGACATTTGCAAAAATCACAAACATACAAATGAGCATAAACTCCGGAATCCAGAACTAACCACACAATACACACACACACACCAAGGGTACCCACACTGTAACAACAATTAAACAGAAACCACAGAATGATAGAGAGCAAAATGGCCATGTACATGTTAACACCACCGGTGTCAGATATTCAGAATATAACGATCTCCAGCCTTCACCCACCAGGCTGGTCCCGGCAAAACACTGGTACCAACGGAAATACTACAATAATCAGACAAAAATCTCAGCCCCACCGGCTGTAATGCATTCCCTGCCCGCTAGGCAGTCAAGCTAACATAAAAAACCCAGCCCCACCGGCTGTAATGCGTTCCCTGCCCGCTAGGCAGTCAAGCTAACATAAAAACCCAGCCCCACCGGCTGTAATGCGTTCCCTGCCCGCTAGGCAGTCAAGCTAACATAAAAACCCAGCCCCACCGGCTGTAATGCGTTCCCTGCCCGCTAGGCAGTCAAGCAAACATAAACCGCGTTCCCTGCCCGCTAGGCAGTCAAGCAGACATAAACGTTCCCTGCCCGCTAGGCAGTCAAGCTAACATATAAAACCCAGCCCCACCGGCTGTAATGCGTTCCCTGCCCGCTAGGCAGTCAAGCTAACATATAAAACCCAGCCCCACCGGCTGTAATGCATTCCCTGCCCGCTAGGCAGTCAAGCTAACATATAAAATGCGTTCCCTGCCCGCTAGGCAGTCAAGCAAACATATAAAATGCGTTCCCTGCCCGCTAGGCAGTCAAACAAACATATAAAATGCGTTCCCTGCCCGCTAGGCAGTCAAGCAAACATATAAAATGCGTTCCCTGCCCGCTAGGCAGTCAAGCAAACATAAACTGCGTTCCCTGCCCGCTAGGCAGTCAAGCAAACATAAACTGCGTTCCCTGCCCGCTAGGCAGTCAAGCAAACATGTCTTAAAGGTATAATAAACACACACACATAAATGAATACAGGAGGCAGATAGACAATCGACAGGTTCACTTAAAAAGGGCGCACCGGATGAGTTAGTTACCTGTCTCTAGTAGCCTTCTGGAAGCCGGAAGTGGACTCGGAGACAGACCGGCACAAAACATGAGAATAACACAGGCAACGGCTGTATTATGGAGGTGATCAGGCTCCGCTTGTCCCACTTTCCGGAGGTCCGCTCCGGTCCGTTGGTTCCGGCTCTCCGAACCGGCTCTCCGGTGGGCCCCACGTTGGGCGCCAATTGAAGTGGAAAAATCAATTAAAGTATTGATTATTTCTTTGTGTATCTGCCCCTGGCCAAATCAATGAAACAATGCGTGCACGCTCCCTGAAGTAATTCACACCAGACACAGGTTCTAGGTTGCTGAATAACTTGAGGAAAGTTTATTCAGAGGGGACGGCAAGTCCCTTTTAAAGCAAAATTACATCATATGCATTGTCAGAGATAACATGGAATAATACATCAATAATTGGTTAGGTGTTAAGTGGTTGCTCTAATGCTCTGCCTACTGCAGGTGATGTCACCGGGACCATGAGGATCTCCCACGGTTTTCCGGCGCCATCTTGTTACACGAGGTAGTTAGTCGATGTTTAAAAAGGGAGGGGAAGGAGGGGTTAGAAGCTTCTAGCAGCCATCTTGATTGAAATATGTGTACTTAGCTTTATATGTGAGATATATATATATTGTAAAATGAGTAAATAGACATTTTCCTTTAACCAGGAAATATGTGTAGACCTTATTTCCACAACACACTATACACAGATTGTACACACTATACACACTCTGTACACACCAAACACATCATACACAGATTGTACACACTATACACACTCTGTACACACCAAACACATCATACACAGATTGTACACACTATACACAGATTGTACACATACACACTATACACAGATTGTACACACCATACACAGACTGTACCCACTATACACAGATTGTACACACCATACACAGACTGTACACACTATACACAGATTGCACACACTATACACAGATTGTACAAACTATACACAGATTGTACACACTATACACACTCTGTACACACCAAACACATCATACACAGATTGTACACACTATACACACTCTGTACACACCAAACACATCATACACAGATTGTACACACTATACACAGATTGTACACATACACACTATACACAGATTGTACACACCATACACAGACTGTACCCACTATACACAGATTGTACACACCATACACAGACTGTACACACTATACACAGATTGCACACACTATACACAGATTGTACAAACTATACACAGATTGTACACACTATACACAGATTGTACACACCATACACAGACTGTACCCACTATACACAGATTGTACACACCATACACAGACTGTACACACTATACACAGATTGCACACACTATACACAGATTGTACAAACTATACACAGATTGTACACACTATACACAGATTGTACACACTATACACAGATTGCACACACCATACACAGATTGTACCCACTATACACAGATTGCACACACTATACAGAGATTGTACAAACTATACACAGATTGTACCCACTATACACAGATAGTACACATCATACACAGACTGTACCCACTATACACAGATTGTACCCACTATACACAGATTGTACACACCATACACAGATTGCACACACCATACACAGATTGTACCCACTATACACAGATTGTACACACTATACACACACTATACACAGATTGCACACACTATACAGAGATTGTACAAACTATACACAGATTGTACCCACTATACACAGATAGTACACATCATACACAGACTGTACCCACTATACACAGATTGTACCCACTATACACAGATTGTACACACCATACACAGATTGCACACACCATACACAGACTGTACCCACTATACACAGATTGTACCCACTATACACAGATTGTACACACCATACACAGATTGCACACACCATACACAGATTGTACCCACTATACACAGATAGTACACATCATACACAGACTGTACCCACTATACACAGATTGTACCCACTATACACAGATTGTACACACCATACACAGATTGCACACACCATACACAGATTGTACACACTATACACAGATTGTACACACCATACACAGATTGTACCCACTATACACACTCTATACACAGATTGCACACACTATACACAGATTGTACCCACTATACACAGATTGTACCCACTATACACAGATTGTACACATCATACACAGACTGTACCCACTATACACACTCTGTACACACTATACACAGATTGTACCCACTATACACAGATTGTACACACCATACACAGATTGCACACACCATACACAGATTGCACACACCATACACAGATTGTACACACTATACACAGATTGTACACACTATACACAGATTGTACACACTATACACACACCATGCACAGATTGTACACACCATACACAGATTGTACACACTATACACAGATTGTACACACCATACACAGATTGTACCCACTATACACACTCTATACACAGATTGTACCCACTATACACAGATTGTACACACTATACACAGATTGTACACACCATACACAGACTGTACCCACTATACACACTCTGTACACACTATACACAGATTGTACCCACTATACACAGATTGTACACACCATGCACAGATTGCACACATTATACACAGATTGTACAAACTATACACAGATTGTACCCACTATACACAGATTGTACACACCATACACAGATTGCACACACCATACACAGATTGCACACACCATACACAGATTGCACACACCATACACAGATTGTACACACTATACACAGATTGTACACACTATACACAGATTGTACACACTATACACACACCATGCACAGATTGTACACACCATACACAGATTGTACACACTATACACAGATTGTACACACCATACACAGATTGTACCCACTATACACACTCTATACACAGATTGTACCCACTATACACAGATTGTACACACTATACACAGATTGTACACACCATACACAGACTGTACCCACTATACACACACTGTACACACTATACACAGATTGTACACACTATACACAGATTGTACACACCATACACAGACTGTACCCACTATACACACTCTGTACACACTATACACAGATTGTACCCACTATACACAGATTGTACACACCATACACAGATTGCACACACTATACACAGATTGTACAAACTATACACAGATTGCACCCACTATACACAGATTGTACACACTATACACACACCATGCACAGATTGTACACACTATACACACACCATACACAGATTGTACACACCATACACATCCTAATCCAGTTTGGGTACCAGGGGGTCAGTTGGGGAGAGGGGGAGGGTGCTGATGTTGATGGTGAGCGGTAAAGGGAGGTATTGATGCTGATAATGAGCGGTATAGAGAGGGAGGTAGTGCTGATGGTGCTGGGAATGGGAGCGCTATAGGGAGGTATTGATGATGATATTGAGCGGTATAGAGAGGGAAGCAGTGGTGATGCTGGGAGTGGGAGCGCTATAGGGAGGTATTGATGATTATGCTGGGGGTGGGAGCACTATAGAGGGGGGGTGATGATGATAATGAGCGGTATAGAGAGGCTGAGAGTATAAGCGCTATAGAGGGGGAGCGATGATAATAATGAGCGCTATAGAGGGGGAGTGATGATGATAATTAATGAGCGCTATAGGGAGGTATTGATGATGATGCTGGGAGTAGGAGCGCTATAGAGGGGGAGTGATGATATTGAGCAGTATAGAGGGGGAGCGATGATAATAATGAGCGCTGTAGAGGGGGAGTGATGATAATGAGCGCTATAGGGAGACTGATGGTTCTGGGAGTAGGAGCGCTATAGGAGGCAGTGATGATGCTGGGAGCGCTATAGGGAGGTACTGGGGGCGGTATAGGAAGGTACTGATGATGCTGGGAGCTATAGGAGCGCTATAGGGAGGTACTGATGATGCTGAGAGTAGGAGCGCTATAGAGAGGCAGTGATGATGTTGGGAGTAGGAGCGCTATAGGGAGGTAGTGATGATGCTGGGAGTAGGAGCGCTATAGGGAGGTACTGATGGTTCTGGGAATAGGAGCGCTATAGAGAGGCAGTGATGATGCTGGGAGTAGGAGTGGTATAGGGAGGCAGTGATGATGCTGGGGGCGCTATAGAGAGGCAGTGATGATGCTGGGAGTAGGAGCGCTATAGGGAGGTACTGATGATGCTGGGAGTAGGAGCGCTATAGAGAGGCAGTGATGATGCTGGGAGTAGGATCGCTATAGAGAGGCAGTGATGATGCTGGGAGTAGGAGCGCTATAGGGAGGTAGTGATGATGCTGGGAGAAGGAACGCCATAGGGAGGTACTGATGATGCTGGGAGTAGGAGCCCAATGGTGAGGTAGTGATGATGCTGGGAGTAGGAGCGCTATAGGAAGGTAGTGATGATGCTGGGAGTAGGAGCGCTATAGGGAGGCAGTGATGATGCTTGGAGTAGGAGCGCTATAGGGAGGCAGTGATGATGCTGGGAGTAGGAGCACTATAGGGAGGTACTGATGATTCTGGGAGTTGGAGCGCTATAGGGAGGTACTGGTGGTGCTGGGAGTAGGAGTGCTATAGAGGGGGAGCTATGATGATAATGAGCGCTATAGGGAGGTAGTGATGATGCTGGGAGTAGGAGCGCTATAGGGAGGTACTGGTGGTGCTGGGAGTAGGAGCGCTATAGGGAGGTAGTGATGATGCTGGGAGTAGGAGGGCTATAGGGAGGTAGTGATGATGCTGGGAGTAGGAGCGCTATAGGGAGGTAGTGATGATGCTGGGAGTAGGAGCGCTATAGGGAGGTAGTGATGATGCTGGGAGTAGGAACGCTATAGGGAGGTAGTGATGATGCTGGGAGTAGGAGCCACTATAGGGAGTAGTGATGATGCTGGGAGTAGGAGCGCTATAGGGAGGTAGTGATGATGCTGGGAGTAGGAGCACTATAGGGAGGCAGTGATGATTCTGGCAGTGGGAGCGCTATAGAGGGGGAGCGATCATGATAATGAGCGCTATAGGGAGGTACTGGTGGTGCTGGGAGTAGGAGCGCTATAGGGAGGCAGTGATGATGCTGGGAGTAGGAGCGCTATAGGGAGGTAGTGATGGTGCAGGGAGTAGGAGCGCTATAGGGAGGTACTGATGATGCTGGGAGTAGGAGCGCTATAGGGAGGTACTGATGATGCTGGGAGTAGGAGCGCTATAGGGAGGTACTGATGATGCTGGGAGTAGGAGCACTATAGGGAGGTACTGGTGGTGCTGGTGGTGCTGGAGTAGGAGGGGCGGTCCTGCGCTATAGGGAGGCAGTGAGCGGTATAGGAGGGGGAGGCAGTGAGCGCTATAGGGAGGCAGTGAGCGGTATAGGGAGGCAGTGAGCGCTATAGGGAGGCAGTGAGCGGTATAGGGAGGCAGTGAGCGGTATAGGGAGGGGGGCCGGTCCTGCGCTATAGGGAGGCAGTGAGCGGTATAGGGAGGTACTGAGCGGTATAGGGAGGGGGGCCGGTCCTGCGCTATAGGGCGGTGCTGGGGGCGGTAGTGGATACAAAGCTGGGAGTTGCAGCTCTCGCTGACAGCCATGGCCGAGCATTGTGCGATCGCCGCATAGCGCCCGATGTACTAACCGGGAGGGAGGATGAACTCGCTGCTGTTCGGAGACATGGCCCGAGCCCTGGACACCCCGCCGGCCCCCGGCCCCTCTCCGGCCCCCGCGGTCACCCTGGCCCTCCGCAATGACCTGGGGTCCAATATCCACGTGTTAAAGACCCTCAATGTCCGGTTCCGATGCTTCCTGGCCCGCGTGCACGAACTGGAGCGGCGGAACCGGCTGCTGGAGCGGCAGATCCAACTCAACCAGAACCGGCCGGACCGGGGGCTCCGCTTCAAAACCTTCCACCGGGACATCGGCACCCAGACCGAACCGCAGCCCCCCGGCCGCCTGCCCGGGACCATGTGGACCTACACCCACGTGCGGCGCTCCGGGGGCCAGCTGGAGACCGTGCAGGGCCCCGGGGTCTCCTGGACATACCCGGACGGAGTGGGGGTACAGATCGACACCATCACCCCCGAAATCCGAGCCCTGTACAACGTGCTGGCCAAGGTCAAACGGGAGAGGGACGAGTACAGGAGGAAGTAAGTGCACCCCCCAGCCTGCCTATTCTGCACCCCCATACTGTACCCCCATACTGTACCCAGCCTGCCTATTCTGCACCCCATACTGTACCCAGCCTGCCTATTCTGCACCCCCATACTGTACCCAGCCTGCCTATTCTGCACCCCCATACTGTACCCAGCCTGCCTATTCTGCACCCCCATACTGTACCCAGCCTGCCTATTCTGTACCCCCATACTGTACCCAGCCTGCCTATTCTGTACCCCCATACTGTACCCAGCCTGCCTATTCTGTACCCCCATACTGTACCCAGCCTGCCTATTCTGTACCCCCATACTGTACCCAGCCTGCCTATTCTGGACTCATATACTGTACCCCCAGACTGTGCCTAGTCTGCACCCCCACATTGTACCCAGTCTACACCCCCAAATTGTACCCATTCTATCCCCTGCACCCCCACATTGTACCCTTGTAATAATGCACCCAGCTGCAACCCTCTCTCTGCTCATCTTTTCCTCTAAAAAATAATAATAATATACAGCACCCCCGATATTTACCACCTCTAGCGTTCGTCCTATGGTCCCCAATTTTTGCTTCTTCATCCCGGCAGAACCCCACTTTTCCCTGATGCCCCCCAGTTCTGTCCCCTTCTGATACAGTCCATGTCATTAGTGTTTTTCGTGCTGCACCCCTAAACCTGCATGTTTTGTCCTGTGCACCCCCTCTTCTGACTCTTCCCATATTACTCCTATTACCCCCACCTCCACCATGCTGTGTATTGTTTGTAAATAGAGGACAGAGAGGTGCAAAGTGACGCAGGTCACCCTCCCATACCCCAGGGTTAACTTTCTGAGCTCTGCAGATAGCCGCTCAATGGGAATGTGATATTAACTGTCTGAGTGCCATATTGGCACACAGGGTCAACAATCTAATGATGGCTGAGCATGGTGAGTGAAAGGGTTTAACCATGTACCCAGTCCCTCCCCCTGCATTGGTGGCTGAGCATGGTGAGATTGCATCACACTGCACATTGTGTTGACTGCATAGAGGTTTAATGCAGGAAAATAGGTACAGGGTGACACCTCCGCCAAGTGCCCACACAGAGGGTATCTATAGCTGCCGCCAAGTGCCCACACAGAGGGTATCTATAGCTGCCACCCTGTGCCCACACAGAGGGTATCTATAGCTGCCACCCTGTGCTCACAGAGAGGGTATCTATAGCTGCCACCTTGTGCCCACAGACAGGGTATCTACAGCTAGCATGTTGTGCCCACTGAGAGGGTATCTATAGCTAGCACGTTGTGTCCACTGAGAGGGTATCTATAGCTAGCACGTTGTGTCCACTGAGAGGGTATCTATAGCAGACATCTTGTGCCCACTGAGAGGGTGTCATTAACATATGGATGCGGAGGGGGTAATATAAACGCAGAGACTGGTTCTAGGCTGTTTAATAACATGACATCTTGGCAATAATGGGGGCTCGTTAGGAATAGATCCAACCAGCACTCTAATTATTGGAATTAAATCTCTGTTCAGCCAGTCCATAGAAATAATATATTAGAGGCTTCCGGTCCCCTTGCAGGATGTCCGTCAAGCTATGACCATAAATTAACCATCAGAGACCCTCTAATTTATTATTATGGCTGGAATCTGCAGGGTTAATCCATACACTTTATAACTCTAACCACAAAACTAGGAGATTATTTTTCCAATTTGCTTAATCTCAGCAACGATTCACTGTTTGTTGATAACTCCCTTGTATAAACCTGACTTCGTACCAGTAACAAGATTTAACTCTAGCCTAGCTGGAGCCCAGGCTGTGAGACCATCCGAAGAAATATTAACTGCGCTGGGGGTTTACTTACTGAACTGCGTACTGTGGGGATGGGGGAAAAACGCACACTGTAGGCTGGCAGGCGCAGAATTTCTGCTAGCGAGAAACCAGGTGAGAAATTGCTCCTCTTACAGCAACACTGGGATTTTTATTGGGAAACTGAGTTATCCGTGGACTATTGGTGTATCGGTTACGGTCAAGGTTTTTTTTTTTTTTTATAAATACTTGTAGAAGTGAAGCGTTCAGTCTCGATGGTGTACACTGGCTTTTTTCTGATTCTTGGATTAAATGGGGGGGGGGGAGGTCGCTGTGAATGGCTTTAAAAATGCCGAATGACTATCCCCACGAGCGACTCATTACATTGTGCTGTGTTGCTCAATCCTGTGACTGTTCGTTAAACCCAAGTTATTTATTAAAACACTGATTCATAGTGAGTAGAAAACCCCAATGGCAAAATATAGTCTAAAATATTCAGGCTGGGACCATAGTGCCCTTACAGAATATTCTAACTCCTCTAGATTTGCTTAAATTTTGACCATTTTCCTTTTCAATTAACTGCTATTCACAATTTAGTGAATTAAACTTTGTGGGTTTTTTTTGTTTTTGTTTTTTTTATTACACTTTTTTGTTTTTTTGTTTTTTTAGATTTTAGCCCAAATAGCCGAACTGAACTGCCCTCCCCCCACTCTTTGTTGTTTAATTTCATAGACCCCTATCTTTCAGATGGTAGAGATTGCCATCCATATCTCAATCCTAAACCGCCTGCATGTCATCGTTTTAGTGTGATAGAGCAGTTTGCTTTAAAGGAATACTCTGGGCACCATAACAACTTCTCAAGCTGTTTTTGTGAATATGTGTCTGACACTCTCAGCCTCTCAGTGGCGGCTAGTCCCAAGGCTCAGACTGGCGAAATTAGCTGGGCAGAGTGATTGGGAGTTGGTAAACGGTGTACCCATAGAGATAAGCTGGGGATGAACTTTTATTACAGTTAAGTTGTTATGGTGCCCAGAGTGTAAATCCAGATTTCTTGCAGTGTCATGGGGAGTAAGATACAGGAGTTTATTTTCTAGACCGTGACAGAGATAAAATGAAGTGTTTTGCAGAATGAGATTGTCAGCCGTCCGGCTCCCCATAATTCACAGTTTAGTGAATAATCCGCTTTCCGAGAGCTGCTTCTTTAAATGGTTATTTGTGTTAAACAAGGGTCATGGCTCTAAGACTCTTCCCAGCCAGTCGGATGTGGATTCATTCTCCAGCAATGTAAAATCATCTTCCAGGGGAAATAAATCCTGCTTCATTGAATCACCCCCTCCTCCCTCCAACCCAAACCCTTCGGCCCCTGCAAAGATCACATCACTCTCAACAGGATTCTTTCTTTAAACAAAGGCCCCGGGTCTCACTGTATATCTTAATGTATTAAAACCTGCATTGCTGTATTCGGTCAAAGGTCACGTAGAAGGACTCTGATCCCTCAGTCTCTGCAGCAATTGGAGGACAAAAAGTCCCATGATCCACCCAAAATGCAATCCTTTTTATTATTTTATCAGTCTAGAAATTGTCCCAAGCAAGACTGAATTGCATGCTGGTTTTTCCCTTCCCGACACTGCACTGCATCTACTACTTTCTGTTCTAATTTTGCTAATTAGAACAATCCAGATTTTAAAATTAGAGGCTAGTGGGTAGTTTGCAGAATCCGGGGCTAATAAAGCCAATTTCAGGAAGTCCAGGGCGACCGGCAGAATGTGTACTCTGGGTCACACAGACTGGTACGATCCCATGCTGAACAAACTTTACATAAACTGAGCATTTCTACAAGAATTCTGAAATTGGTTCTGTACCATATTTCAAGGTGCACTGTGCAGGGTAACCCCAACCTGTGGGCACACTGGCCTTAAACTTGAAATCACTTTGAATTCTCACTTTATTGAATAACTCATTGTATCTCGGATTGCAGGGCCCAGTATTTCACTGGCACCCATTGCTGATCAGCTGTTATGCCCAATGATGGTGCCCGTACCATCCTGATAAGACAGTGGATATAAAGCAGAGCGTGCGTTGTGAGATAAATATTGGTGACGTGAGACCTGGCTGATTATGGTAAATGTTGATATTGGACTCAGGCTGAGTACTGGATTTGGTGCTACGTTGTCTTCATGGTGATTCCAGGAGGGCTCACTTTAGCCGGGCGCTGTGCCCAGTAGACAGTAGATGGCTGTATTTAGCCTGTGGGTGTGTTTGTTACCAGTCAAGATATATAGGCATTCAATTGTCCTCACACTGAGAGCTCGGCCGTATTTTGGTATTGTCCGACAATAACTATTATTCTGTTTGGGAATTGGCAAGCGACCAATCTGGTGGCTCAGTGATACTCAAACCTATTTCGGCATTGTTTTCTCTCTCACTCCGGGGGGATGGGTAGGAGTGTCAGTGCATTGTCGTACATTATTATTTTATTTATTTAATACAGTGTTACAACATGTCTCATTTAATACACTATGCTATTCATTATCACATGTTTGTGGTGTTATTACTTGTATCCATTCTAATTCTAGTATCTCCATTTAATTTACCCCTAGTTTACATTGGTATGTATTTGGCTCTTTATAAAGTATGTTATAAAGCATCTTGTCTAATGTAATACACCGTGATAGAAATCGTTACGTGTGTGTGTTGAATTGTGATGAAGGAAAGTCTGAGGCTCCCCATTGTATATGGCTGTATTTTTATTAATGCATCATGGGAGATGTAGTTCTACAACATCTGGGGATCTTCCTTTTGGACTCCCCTGTTGTAAGCTAAAACCGACAAACCGGAACGTAGACTCCATTTTATTTAAACGTGGCCGTGTTCGTTTAAATTCCTTACTTCTCCTAAGAATCTAAACTTGTGGTTTCAGAACAAATTACTGTGAATCTGTTTGTTTAGAGCTCAGATCCATTTCCAGGGTTGGTAAATATAAAGTTCACTGACCTATCGGACATTGGCAGCGCCAGGATGGGGGCGTTCTGTGTGTGTGTGTGTGTGTGTATTTATTTTTATTTTTTTTCTTAAAGTTTGCACAGTCCAGCTTTTTAACATGGCGGCTTCGTATCGTCCTCTTTCAATGTAATAATTTTAACACTTGTTACTGTTTTCTGATGTTTACACACAGAGAATCTGTGAAAGTTTAACCCTTTATGGACACGACATGTGTGACATGTCATGATTCCCTTTTATTCCAGAAGTTTGGTCCTTAAGGGGTTAAAATGGTTCCCCTGGATGGATTCTACAAATTGTTAAATGTGGAACACCGTATTCACTGTCTAGACCAGGGGCAGGCAACCTTCGGTACTCCAGATGTTGTGGACTACATCTCCCATGGCAAAGCATCATGGGAGGTGTAGTCCAAAACTTCTGCTGTGCTGAAGGTTGCCTATGACTGGTCTAGACCTTGCTATAGTGCCGTGGTCGCAGTTCCACTAATAACTCCCTTGAATCTGCTCTTGTTGTCAACCAAGGAGTTATGGGAGTTTTAGTCCTCCAACAAGTAGAGATGTTAGATGTAGAAATATATGTTTTTGGATAAACCTTTTTTTTAAAGGACCACTATAGTGCCAGGAAAACAAACTCATTTCCTTGCACTATATGGTCTTTAGGGTCCCGCTTCGGCCGGGCACTAGGGGGAGGAAGGGGTTAAACACTTGCCTTTCTACAGCGCCGGGCTCACTCCCTCTTCTGCTGAATGCGCATGCGCAGCAAGAGTTGCGCGCGCATTCAGTCAGTCCGTAGGAAAGCATTCTCAATGCTTTCTTATGGACGCTGGCGTGAGAAGCGCGGAAGCGCCTCTAGCAGCTGTCAATGAGACAGCCACTAGAGGCTGGATTAACCCTAGATGGACCTGGCACCCAGACCACTTCACTTCATTAAGCTATAGTGGTCCTTTACGTGATTCCCATGACTTTTAATGGTGATTTCTGTAGATGAATCATTTGACACGTTTGTCCATAAATATTAATCTGTGGCCAGTGTACCGATCTTGCTGACATGCGTTTTGCCACCAATAAAAGGGTTACAAGGCGAGCGTGTCTGAGTCTCTTTAGGGATGTTTCATGCCATTCGGCAGGTGCAGCACCTGGTTTGTTGTCTCAGCCGCCAAGATCTGCCACTCTGTTCTGGATCCGTTATTAGACTTTTTGTTTGCAGGGCGTGCTCCAGCCTGCCCTATAAACGCTGGCAGCTGGGCATTAATTTGTAATGCATTGTATGTTAATCCCTTTGAAGCGTTTCCGATAATCTCAGGGTTCCTTTTAATGTTTTGTGAAAGCCTGGCCAATGTAAATATGTCTTGGGAGAGAATATTTCATACAAAGAGACTGGGAATATATTATCGGAGGACAACAGCTCTGTGTCCAGCTGGGGTAACTAGACTTCAAAGCTCCGTGCCCAGCAAAGGGGAGCAAAGGATCATGGTAGTTGTAGTTAAACAGGTGTTAGCTTGTTTCCCTACAATCCAGCATGGTGGTCTACACATGGGGGAAACGAGAGTTTGTGTTTTGCACTCTCTCTTATATTAACATAATGTGAGACACAGGACCCCAAAATAATTGGGGGGGAAAACAAACACAAGGTGTGTGTCCCTTCCTCTCTTTGTTGGAGTCCAAGCCTGCTCTCCCACTTCGCAGCCACAGACATAATTGTAATATATGTATTAATCCCCCATTGGGTTACTTGGTGTTTTCTTTAAGCCTTAAGTGATTCACTTTTCATTTAGAAAGCTGTATTTAGCTGATTAATTGTAGCAGTCCATTCCAACGATATTGTGTGTTTATAATATCCGCCATTCTACATGCAACATTCTAATCGTTTATAGTGCAAATTAAGGGTTTTATTCAACAAATACCGTACTGCAGGAAACGGAAATTGGAATTGCAAATCGTAGGCCAAAATAAGCTGGGACTATATAGCTGGCTTGGAGATTTTTATTATTTTTTTTACTAAATTTGGAATTGGGTTTGTTAGCCACAAATCATTTAGTTATTAAACAATGAGAGGTCTGGCTTCCCCAGATTAAATATTTATAATATTTTAAAGGCAAAATGTTTTGTTTGGAATAATGTACATTACAATGGCTTCCCTATTCTGCTCCAGCGAATTTACCTTCCATCCCAGATATAGATTGGTATTTAGGAACCTGTTTCATTGGTTGTGATTATTAAAACCTGCTTGAGTTTGGATTTGGGAAGATGTGTCGATTTTATTTTGGAATATTCTTTTGTGGTTTGGTAAATGGCAATGTAAGCAATCTGCCATCTAATGAAAGAATTCTCACTGAAATGGAAGTTTTTACATATTGCAATAGATTTAGTCTTACTAGCTAACATTCTGTTCCTTTTAGAAACTTTGCAGTAAAATACACAGCAAGGTAACATTGCAAATACTGTATATTAATCCCTGACCACTCCTGAACTCTCCGTGGCTCTTATTACCCCCCTCTAAACCTGGCGACCCTTGCCTGCTCCCATCGCAGGCCTGGAATAAATAAGGTTATTGATGCTCCGAGGAAGGTGAGGACTTCGAAAGGAGACTGGCCTATTTTGAGACCATGACATGCACAGTGTATTTATAACAATACCAGAAACCCACAGAGCTTGCAATCCGCTAATAAATAGAACCTGTGCACGCCACTTATGAAGTGACTTTAAAGGGATCACTGTCACAGGTAACTTTACTAAATATGAAAATCTCTCTTCGTAACACCTTAGCATACTGCATGTTAATAGACAGATTTTCATTTTGAGATAATTTAGTTTTTTGTTCTCCAGGAAGCGGATTTTAATGAGATCTTCACGATCACATTAACCCCATGACCGGGGGGAAAAATATTTTTTTAAATTAAAACGAGAATCTTTGTGTAATTTTAATAACTACCATGGACGCCTGATTTCTGGGCTTGAAAGGAAAATATGGTGGGTATCCCAGTAGGTTACGTTCTTATCCTCCTGCAATAAAAAGTTTCAGTTAATAGAGTTGGATATTATTAATCAAAGACTATAGGGCTCATTCACTAAACCCCAAGCTATAGTGAATTGAAATCTGAATTGCAGAGTCTAGGTAAAATTAGCCAAGCTGCGTCTATAACGGAGTTGGGAATTCCAAGTATAGTGAATAAATGTTATAAAGGATACAGTCCCGTTCCTTTATTTGATTTCCTTCCTGTGACCTCCCTTAGCCAGGATTTACTCTGAGGTGAAAGGAACACGTATGCCCTTCCCCCAGCCTACGAGAAACCACGCATGGTTCGTGCAATTTCCTGCATTCCCATGGGGCAGTAAATCTCATCATGCATTGCTTGCATAAAATGGACTTTTAGCCCCCACGTACCTTTTTTATATCGCCACTGCCAGCCTTACTCACAATTCCATTAGCAAACTGTAATAATGCTTTGAAGGACTGCAATTCCCATTATCCAACTGGCAAAACTGAGGCTGAAATAGGTGGACTGGAATAATTCTCCAAAGGACTCGTAGCAGGGCCCACAACTACCACTTGCCCGTCAGCCATTGGCAAGTGAAACATTGCCCTGCCAAGTAAAAATTCACCCCAGTGACTGCCATCCAGGCTCGCAGCAATCGGTGGGCATGGATACTAGTGAGCCCTGGTCACAACTGATATTTCAGCCATGATTACTAAATACAATGTAGAGTTTATTGAATAACCCTGTGAGTGTGAGGTATTGGGTTTTGGTGAGATATTAATAAATACTGCAGCATTATCGTGTGTGGTTTTTTTTTTTTTTTTGTGTTTATATTTTATTTGAGTTTTGGTTAATTTAAGTCCACCAGACATGACTACTCCAAAGAAATGCCCACAGAAGATTAATGTTCTCATTCTCCTAGTGAAAATAAGTGATCAGCGAGGTGATGGATGGATCTGAGCCAGTGTTCTTGCTGTGTGTTTGCACGTATGGCTTCTATGGGTTTACGTGACCTACGAGACCATTGTTCAAGGAGACGATGGATGGCCAAGGTTCTCTGCCGCTATGGATTTACTGCTTGGGAAAGGAACAAGTCTACAGATTGTCTGGCTCCCAGAGTAAAGATGACTTTGTGGACCTTCCCATAAAACACAAAGGCCTTTCACCTTAAATAATACGTCTCTAATAAAGAATAATTCCTTCTAATAAAATCAGCGTATTCATCTGCAGACGATTAGTGGCGTTCCCGCGGGGTGAAGCCATTGTATCACCGCGTTTTAAACAAACACTGACTTTGTTTACAATATCTAATAAACTCTTGGTTACATTTCCTACCACTTTCATTTGGTTATTACTGAATTGCAGGGTTATTTACTGGATAAGGTGTGAAATGTCTCTGGAAGTTCAAATTTGGGGCCACAATAACAGAATTAGAAAAATTCTCAAAGTCTGCCATTTCACTTTGCTATTTTTGGCCTCAAATTTTTAAATGTAACTTACTTCTCAACCGTTTTGCCATTAGCGAATATCTGTTATTGCACCCTGATAAGTTACGTAGTTTTGTTTGTTCAGGATTGCAAGCTCTTTGGCACAGTCTTGTGGGGAATTGGTCCGTGACAGGGAAAGGCTTGTCGTGGTATAAAAAGGTTTATGAATTTTACAAGTTATATATACAAGCTATATATTTTTTTAAATCTAGCTTCTGGGATTGAGCGGATCCTGTTTTGAATCTGTTTTCATGCCCTGTGTTTATTGAAAATTCTTTTGAGTTCTAAATGCTGCAATCATACGAGTCTTTGTGTTTAAGAGAAACGGATATTTAAATATCTAACTTTAATTATTTCTTATTCCTCTGATCTGGGTAAGTCTCAGCACTGTTTGTTTTTGAGTTTTCTTGCAATAAATCTAACTCGCAGTCAGTTCATACCTCCCTGTTATTTAGGCTCTTTGTAAATCTGTACCCATCTACGTGACACCATCGCCACTCTGTGTCATTCAGCATCCTGCTGATCTGGAACCTCCCTTTCGTCACAATGCATGGCTGTTGCTTAGAAAAACCACTTTCCTGATGGATTTATAAATCTCCTGTGTCCAGGAACATGGGCTTTCTTTTGTTTCTGACGCTGCAAGAAAAGGAAAAAAAAAAATCCTTTCCAGAGATTATTTTGCCATTTATTTTTCTGTAGCGCCAGCATATTCTGTACAATGGGTAAGCTTGTTCTATTTGTTGCTAAATACTCAGCGTTAGGCAATTCCTGATTTATTTTCTTAATTGTGTATGTGGTTGTGCCAGCCTATACCATCGCTCTGTACAAATTACTTATTAAAAAAAAAAATTCAGAATTTTTTTTTTTTTTAACTAAATTTGGAATTGGGTTTGTTAGCCACAAATCATTTAGTAAGTAAACAATGAGAGGTCTGGCTTCCCCAGATTAAATATTTATAATATTTTAAAGGCAAAATGTTTTGTTTGGAATAATGTACATTGCAATGGCTTCCCTATTCTGCTCCAGCGAATTTACCTTCCATCCCAGATAAACGTGTTAAAAGAGGCACTTGCCAAACTAGTGATTGTAGAGGTATTTTACATGGTTTTATAGACATACTGGAAACCAGAGGGTCCTTCTTGTTAAAGCACCTCTTTCTGCATGTCCTCGCACACATTTCATTAAACACCTGACGGTTGTTTTTAACATTCCTGAAATGACTGTGCTAATTGTTATGTAATGTACCCACCCTCAGTCACTCCCTCCAAACACAGCTGGTCATTATCACTGCCATGTCCTAAATTTACCTGTCCACCCTTAAAACAAACTGTGTGTGTGTCTGTGTACACGAGGACTGTTAACCTCACCTGTGACGCTTCGCTGGGCTGTGCGTACAGTTTTAATTATCCCTCGCCCTTTTAAGTAATTGATACTAAAGTGTGGCTGTCGTGTTTTTAAAGTGGCAAGTTGACACCTATGTAGATAACTAATCTGTATCTCACACTGTGATGGCTTAGTTACTGGCAAGTCTAAACATCCAGACTCATTCCTGTATAGAGCGGGGATCGTCACTTAGTTGAATAAAACATTGACAATCACCTGTAACTTGTCATTAACCTCTCTTTACATGCCCTGTTTTGATAAATCTTTAAAGGGACACTGTAGGCACCTAGACCACTTCAGCTCATTGAAGTGCTCTGGGTGCACCATCCCTTTTGTACTTAGTGCTGCAGTGTTAAACGTTGCAGTTCCAGAGAACCTTTTGGTCCGGAATCTGCCGCTCGGCATGAGAACCTCCAGCGTCATATTGTTCCCCGTAGGAAAGCATTGATCAATGCTTTCCTATGGGGAAATCCTAATGCGAGCTCGGCCGTTCCTGCGCAAGCGCGTTACATGTCTCTTGACGGCTGGAATCAGGTAAGTTGCTGAAGCGGTTTTAACCCCTTCAGCACCACAAGGGGGGGGTGAGGGGGTGTGAGGGAAAGGGGCACCTTAGAAATCTTTAGTGCCAGGAAAACGGCTTTATTTTCCTGGCACTATAAAATCCCTTTAATATCAATTTTAATATTAATTTCATTACAGTCCAGTTTAGGCAAAGCAAACATTACCAATGAGAGAACATTGTTTCATTTCCAGCTTTCGCTTTCTTGGCAGCCACGTGGCAAAAAGCAAAACTTGTAACAATGGCTGACAGGGAGCCAAGATGGAGGCGCCCAATTGCAGGAAATGAACCCGTGGATTTTTTTTCACAGCTCACAAATACATATTCTCTGTATATAAAGAATACGTAAACGCAAAATCCTGGGAAATTGGGGCTCCCCTGTAAGTTCATCTCTTTATGGAGCACAATATTTCTTTGTGTGTGTGCATTTATTTTATTTCTATATAAATCGTAGAGAATCAGACTTGGTTTGCAATATGTATATGTTTTTTTATGGTATAAACCTGTAAAATGAGATCCTATCGGTGCATGCACAGGTTTCGCCGGGGGGGGAAGAGCGATCCCTCTATCATGCTTCAAGGGTAATGTTCAATAAAAGCAAGGTATGTTACACATGGTGCTTGTCATGTTAAGGATTTGACTTCCTTTTATCTGACTCGCAGAGCAGCAAACCGTTCTCTTGCAGTTTGTCGAACCAGGCGTGACTGTACAGATTAGTGGCCTGTAACCTGCAGCACAGCGATACTGCCAGGGGAAAGCCACTGATCTCGATTCCACAAGTAAAGACTGTATTCTACCTGTCGGCCCATGTGAAACCAGCTGTTTGCCCTGTGTCTGGCGGCCTTCAATAATGGTGACTCTTCTGGACCTTGATTCCCCATGTCTAGTAATTATGACCAAAATTTTGCAGGAACGTTGTTTTTCCACCATAACTTGTTAAGTGAACAAATGCCAGAGGCCTTTTAACTGCAAAGACTTGACCTTTTAATAAATCCATGCCGGGTATCCCAGCTAAAAACAAACAGCTATTCCGCAAAGGACATTTCACCCAGTAAGTAAAAATCACTTTCTGGCCAAACTTCTGGTCACTGACCTATTCTCTGACCTGTTCTCTGCTGTGTGGTATATTTGCTCCTATAGTGGGGGAGATGGGAAGTGGGATTACATTTCCCTACAAAGAGTGCACCAAATGGGGTGTTGATGGGGATGGCGGACAAAAATATAAATGATTTAAAGAAGAAAAAAAAAACCCAAAAGATCCACTGGTTGACATATCAACATACCACTGATTGTGTACATTTTACATCACTGTTGCCAACCATAGCTTAAAGTAAATCTTTTAACATTTAAAAATGATTTGATAAAAATTAAATGCTTAAGCCTATTCTAGCGCAGGGATACGCAAACTTTGGCACTCCAGATGTTTTGGACTACACCTCCCATGAAGCTTTGCCAGCATTATGGCTGTTAGAGCATTGTGGTAGATGTCCACGACATCTATAGTGCCAAAGGTTGCCTACCCCGGTTGGACAGTTTTCAATGTAGAGCATCCTTCACCTTTTTCCCCCTTAAATAGAGTAACCATCCAGTTTCAGTTAGAGGAAATAAATATTAACCCTTTATCATTCTGACAATGGAATGTCTGTTTAACTCAGTGTTTGCTCACTCTCTCAGCCTGGCTCATGGTTACCCCAATCCGGTGCCTGGGGCTCTGTCTGAGTGTGTCCAGTGCTGCCAATGGATTCCCTTGGGCTGTGGCACCAACAAAAATCAGATACAGTGACTGCAGAGAAAACGCACAATTTGTTTTATTTAGAAAGCATTTTATGAGGAAGAATACAGTGAGATTCCTCTCGTTTTCTGAGTTTCCTTATAAGGAATTCCATTGCCTAAAATCTTCGTTTCCCTGATTGATATGATAGGAAGCGAATATAGCAGTGGTGAGTGCGGACGTTCTTTGCTTTCTAGAAAGATGAGTTTGTGATTGTGCACCATCAGCAGCCCTGGAGGCAGGGTCACCTCTGAGAGATGGATTTCTGGAGCTGGCTGAAGGCTAGGGATGTCGTCATTGCCAGATGTAAAGCTCCTGTAATTTACATAATGCAGGGCTAGGCCTAAGGCAACGGCTGGATGGCAATTCTCATCCTTCCAAGCTGACTGTAGGCTTGCTGAGGGTATTGGGAGCTATACCTGCTATGTTTTCTTTAATGCAAACTGTTATATTTGATAACCCTTATGTGATCAGCAGCTCACTTGTCCATCTAGTCGTCCCTACTGGTGGAAATGGCTACCATTTGCCATTAAATCTTCACTGTGGATCCGGACCGCAAGTTATACATCGCTGTTTGGGATCACAGCACCATAACCACTGCACTAACTATTAATACTGTGAGCTGTAGTCAGGGTTTCTATAACCACAATGTTTTCAGGGACACATGTAATTTTGTCCTGCAGGATTCTTCATTGCCTGATTATTTATTTAATCTTGTACACCTTCTAAATTCTACGTACTACAAGGCAACCCTTTTCACGTGCTGCTCGTCAGTGTGGGAGTGAAAACACTGTGGATCAGGTAACTCTGGCTTTAGTGGATATGGTGCTCAGAGTATCCCGGTTAGTAATGGGGTGAGGTGGGGGAGGGGGGATCCATACATTCTCATGATAGATCGATAGATATGTTTTATTTTTTTTTTCTCTTTTGTATAAAGCCCATAAAGAAATCTTTTAAACCGGAAGTATGGCTAAATCCGATCAAACTGTAACAGTAGATGTATGTGTGGGCTTTGCAGCCCGGCCGTTGTGCAGCGTCACTCCATTCTACTGTTACAAAGACAAATTGCAGGCTGCGATTTAAATAACTGCTTTGTTTTGTCTGCCCGGCTCGTTCCTAATTGGTACATTTGGCGTGTTCCCAGCAAGCGGGTTTAACTCTGCCGGCAGGGTGGCAGCTGTTCATGTGTGGTTTCCTGTTTTGAGACCGTGCTTGCAGTGCTACTAGTTAATTCACTGCCCTCTTTACAAGCGAGGGGCTTCCTGCCAAAATAAAAACACATACAGTAATAAAATCTCGATTCAACCCAAACTTGCCTTTACCCATAACTCCTTGCTCCCTGTCTGGTCATTATCCCGGTTTATTGGCCCTGGACGAGGCTTGAACCAAGTATTTGGCAGCCCGTTAGTTTGTAGCATTGCAGTGTATTGGAGGGGAAGAGTCTCCGGCCTCCAGGGAGAAGCTGTATGTTGCTTTCCTCACTCAGCCATTTTTTCCTGTGACTAGCACACATTAGCAATCCGATCAGGATTCCTCTGGTCTCAGACCCTGTGCTATTCTTGCATTGACCAGCCTGTTGTTGAGGGTGCGTGCTCTGGGATTGCAGCCACTCTTGGAATATCTGGGATGGCCTACAGAGACAGTCTTTTTTTTTTTTTTAATTTTTTTTTTTTTTCTTTACTGAATGTGCTTACTCACAGGTTTCAGATGGGAACATTATCCAGTAGACCCAATCCCCGATTATACCCTACAGGCCTGGTCCTCAACGGGATGTCAAGGCCCAGCACATCTGTCCAAAAGAGCTTACATTCTAACACAACATGCAAATTCTGTCTTGCATACATTCATCTTTGCTGATGAATGGAGACCTTAATTGTGATGTTTAGCAAGTTTAAAAAAAACAAACTTTATATTTTGCAATATGTAACTAGGGTTAATGGACATTAAGTGGTGTTTCTTGTGTTTTTTTTGCAGATTTACAATAATTTCTAAAGGATTGCAGTGAAATAGACTGTATTGCTCATTTTCAATTTGTAATCTGCAAATTACCGTTTTTATGTACAGTTATTTATTTATAAAATAATTTACCAGGATGGATACATGGAGATTTCTCTCGTATTCAAGTATGTCCTGGGTCCACAAAACATTACATTGTTACAAAAGGATATCTTATAAAAAAAATAATAATAAATATATACCACATAACAGGTGATAAATATATATTCATCCATGACATGTACATTCTGTGCGGAGTTATATTGCCATAGATCTCTTAAACGATTTTAGACTGAATGACGATCTGACTGTGTCCCTGAGGTCATTCCATAATTGCGGTGCTCTGTAGGAAAAGGAGGATCGAGCCACTTTATTTTTGTATTGCAGTATGCTAAATATCGTGCTAGTACTGGATCAGAGGTTGTAGGAGGTGGGAACAGCCGGGGAGAGCATTCTACTCGGGTAGGGTGGGAGCTTCCCAGAAATGCAATTATGTACAAGGCTGGAAAGATGAAAAAAGTGTGTCAGGATTTCAGCGACAGTCAGTTTCGCACTTTTAACGTGTCACAATAGTGGGTAAAGTAATTACATTCTGGTACAAAGCGGCAGAATGAATTATATAATGCATTAAGTTTATTAAGGTTGGTTTGCGGTGTGGGTGCATACACTACATCCCCATAATCCATGACCAGAATTAGCATTTGTTGCACTATATGTTTCCTTACTGTAGGGCTTGGGCAGGATTTGTTTCTGTACAGGGCACCCAGTTATGGGTAAAGTTTTGACGAGATTTTTTTCAATGTGAAGGCCAAAGGATAGATTGGGGTCTAGCAACATACCTAGATATTGAAAAGAGCAGACTACTGTCAGTATGCTACTTGAATTTCTTCTGATACACGGTTGTTGTGTTTTTTTTTTTTTTTGTTGTTTTTTTAAACGTAATTTAGGTACAGTTCCAAAGATCTAACAGTTTATTGTCAGTGTTTAGGAAGAGTTTGTTATCAGCTATTATTTTATTTATATAGCTCCATCAGATTCCGTAGCGCTGTATAAAGGGTGGACTAACAGGCATTTAATTGTAACCAGACAACTCTATGTACAGGAACCTGCTCAATGAGCTTACATGCTAGAGGGAGTGGGGTATAGTGACACAGTAACAGAGGGATTGAGGGCCCTGCTCAGTGAGTTTACATGTTAGAGGGAGTGGGGTATAGTGACACAGTAACAGAGGGATTGAGGGCCCTGCTCAGCGAGTTTACATGTTAGAGGGAGTGGGGTATAGTGACACAGTAACAGAGGGATTGAGGGCCCTGCTCAGCGAGTTTACATGTTAGAGGGAGTGGGGTATAGTGACACAGTAACAGAGGGATTGAGGGTCTGCTCAGTGAGTTTACATGTTAGAGGGAGTGGGGTATAGTGACACAGTAACAGAGGGATTGAGGGCCCTGCTCAGTGAGTTTACATGTTAGAGGGAGTGGGGTATAGTGACACAGTAACAGAGGGATTGAGGGCCTGCTCAGTGAGTTTACATGTTAGAGGGAGGGGGTATAGTGACAGTAATAGAGGGGTTGAGGGCCTGCTCAGTGAGTTTACATGTTAGAGGGAGTGGGGTATAGTGACACAGTAACAGAGGGATTGAGGGCCTGCTCAGTGAGTTTACATGTTAGAGGGAGTGGGGTATAGTGACACAGTAACAGAGGGATTGAGGGCCTGCTCAGTGAGTTTACATGTTAGAGGGAGTGGGGTATAGTGACACAGTAACAGAGGGATTGAGGGCCTGCTCAGTGAGTTTACATGTTAGAGGGAGTGGGGTATAGTGACACAGTAACAGAGGGATTGAGGGCCCTGCTCAGTGAGTTTACATGTTAGAGGGAGTGGGGTATAGTGACACAGTAACAGAGGGATTGAGGGCCCTGCTCAGTGAGTTTACATGTTAGAGGGAGTGGGGTATAGTGACACAGTGACAGAGGGATTGAGGGCCCTGCTCAGTGAGTTTACATGTTAGAGGGAGTGGGGTATAGTGACAGTAACAGAGGGATTGAGGGCCTGCTCAGTGAGCTTACATATTAGAGGGAGTGGGGTATAGTGACACAGTAACAGAGGGATTGAGGGCCTGCTCAGTGAGTTTACATGTTAGAGGGAGTGGGGTATAGTGACACAGTAACAGAGGGATTGAGGGCCTGCTCAGTGAGTTTACATGTTAGAGGGAGTGGGGTATAGTGACACAGTAACAGAGGGATTGAGGGCCTGCTCAGTGAGTTTACATGTTAGAGGGAGTGGGGTATAGTGACACAGTAACAGAGGGATTGAGGGCCCTGCTCAGTGAGTTTACATGTTAGAGGGAGTGGGGTATAGTGACACAGTAACAGAGGGATTGAGGGCCCTGCTCAGTGAGTTTACATGTTAGAGGGAGTGGGGTATAGTGACACAGTAACAGAGGGATTGAGGGCCTGCTCAGTGAGTTTACATGTTAGAGGGAGTGGGGTATAGTGACACAGTAACAGAGGGATTGAGGGCCCTGCTCAGTGAGTTTACATGTTAGAGGGAGTGGGGTATAGTGACACAGTAACAGAGGGATTGAGGGTCCTGCTCAGTGAGTTTACATGTTAGAGGGAGTGGGGTATAGTGACACAGTAACAGAGGGATTGAGGCCCTGCTCAGTGAGTTTACATGTTAGAGGGAGTGGGGTATAGTGACAGTAACAGAGGGATTGAGGGGCCTGCTCAGTGAGTTTACATGTTAGAGGGAGTGGGGTATAGTGACACAGTAACAGAGGGATTGAGGGCCCTGCTCAGTGAGTTTACATGTTAGAGGGAGTGGGGTATAGTGACACAGTAACAGAGGGATTGAGGGCCTGCTCAGTGAGTTTACATGTTAGAGGGAGTGGGGTATAGTCACACAGTAACAGAGGGATTGGGGGCCTGCTCAGTGAGTTTACATGTTAGAGGGAGTGGGGTATAGTGACACAGTAACAGAGGGATTGAGGGCCTGCTCAGTGAGTTTACATGTTAGAGGGAGTGGGGTATAGTGACACAGTAACAGAGGGATTGAGGGCCCTGCTCAGTGAGTTTACATGTTAGAGGGAGTGGGGTATAGTGACACAGTAACAGAGGGATTGAGGGCCTGCTCAGTGAGTTTACATGTTAGAGGGAGTGGGGTATAGTGACACAGTAACAGAGGGATTGAGGGCCTGCTTAGTGAGCTTATATGTTAGAGGGAGTGGGGTATAGTGACACAGTAACAGAGGGATTGAGGGCCTGCTCAGTGAGTTTACATGTTAGAGGGAGTGGGGTATAGTGACACAGTAACAGAGGGATTGAGGGCCTGCTCAGTGAGTTTACATGTTAGAGGGAGTGGGGTATAGTGACACAGTAACAGAGGGATTGAGGGCCCTGCTCAGTGAGTTTACATGTTACAGGGAGTGGGATATAGTGACACAAAAGGTAAAAGTAGGGGTATGAAGTAAGTTGTTAGAAAAATATATGCTGAGGGCTTAGTAGGTAATATTTGACAGTTGCAGGAGAGGAGTCGTGGAGGGTAAAAACCTGCTAACAGTTTAATTGATATGCTTTCTTGAAGTGAGTTTTCAATGATTTTTTTTTGAGTGGAGACTGGGTGAAATTCTTATGGAGGAGGGAAGGGAGTTCCACAGAAGAGATGCATCCCTGGAAAAGTCTTGGAGGCGAGCGTTGGAGGTGGGAGTACGGACAGAGGATATACGTAGGTCTTTGGCAGAGCGTAGGGGCCTCGATGGGACATACTTGTGTAATAGGAGGATAGGTAGGTTGGAGCTGCATTATGTAGGGACTTGTAAGCAAGCACCAGAATTTTAAATTGAGCCCTATATCTAACTGGGAGCCAATGCAGGGACTGACAGAGTGGGGAGGTGTGGGAGGTGCGGGCAGACAGGAAAATGAGCCTTGCTGCCGCATTCGTTATAGATTGCAACGGTGCAATCTGGGAACACGTAAGACCATTAAGAAGAGTATTGCAGTAGTCCAGGCGAGAGAGAACAAGAGCACGGACCAGCACCTTAGCCACATGTGGGGTTAGATAGGGGCGGATGCGCGCTATGTTTTTGAGATGGAAGCGATCGGATTTGGCGATTGATTGGACGTGAGGGATGAAGGAGAGGTTGGAGTCAAAAATAACACCCAGGCAGCGAGCAACACTTGAGGGAGGAAAGACCAGAAGTTCTGTTTTGGACAGGTTGAGTCCTCTGTGAATTGGTTATGTAAATGATCAATCTCCAGCAATATTTTCCTATAAAACTGGCCACATCCCACTGCGACTTTACGACTTGCTACTCCCACCCAATTCAAAAATGGGTTAAATAATGCTCTCTGTGCTAAAATGGTGAATGCAGAAGTGTGACCCGGGGGGGTGAGTGCTTAGTGTTTTTGTTTTTTTGATGGGGGAGGGTGAGTTGTTCCCGTGTCATATTTTCGCATCTTTTCATGGTGGTCGGGATTTACATTTCCTTGTTGTGGTGCGTGCTGGCGAGTTACGCCATTGTGGAATTCCTATTGTTCTAGCCCTTTATTTGCAAGGAATTCTCAGACAGATTGTGTTTCGAGGATCGCTCCTGATCACCGGAGATCACATTTCTTTGGTACAAATGCAGCTGAAGTTACAGACGTGCTAACTAGATCAAGTGTTCTTTACAGGAATATAATCTATTTCAATGTACAAAATGCTGCCATCCTCTCTGGGATAAGCTGTATAGAAGTCTTGCTTATTGGCTGGTGCGCTGTTTGGGGGGTCTCTTACATTTTGAAAGAAGCGAAGATTGGACCAATCAGGATTTTTATGTATTTTATTTAGACGTTTGAGTACTCCTTCCCGCAGATCTAATGAAAGCCGCTTTCTATTAAATAAACGCTATCAAGAGAAGTATAACTTTTTAAACATTAGGTTTCGCTTTCCTTGAAAGTATAGCAATATAAAATAGCTTTCATGCCTTGATGAAGGTGTTGTCACCAAGATATCTTCACTGGGTGTGGAGCTGAGTAATGCAAACATTTCAAATGATGTTCACATGTTTTATTAACCAACTAACTACAGCTAAATCCGATATCAAAAGAGCAGGTTTAATATTAAGAAATGCATTGCCTAAAGTTTGAGCACTATATATTTATTGCCCCTCCACCCGACCGCTTATTATAGAGAAGTGCTGAATTCAGTACATCGAACACGTCATCAGCGCCTGTGTGTAAAAATCTAAGCGTTGATATATCTCGCATAAAATATATATATTGGGATGGAGCATTAAAAATGGAAGGCCTGCACCAGAGGACTCCAGACACTATAACCACTTCTATTAGATAAAGCAGATCGTGCCAACCGTGTCCCTTTAAGGGATTTAGAGAGACTTGTCTGTACGGTCCCATTCTGCTAGTACACTGCTGTGCTAAATGAAATGAGCTTTATTTGTATATCCATAGATTCCTTTATGTGACTGGGCCAAACGACGTGGGGCAGAGGCATGTGCCACGTCTGTTGGTGAGTGGCCAATTCCGAATGGAGAAAGTGGTTTTATTTTTTTGGATACATCTTTAAATCCCTGAATGCAAGATGGTGATCTCAGGCCAAAACCCACACGTTTTCTGAATTATCCTCTGTTTATCCAGAAGCTTGCTGCTTCTGTTTCCTTAATTACGTCACTCAGACCGTCTAGAATTTCACAACGAACAATTCTTTTATTAACATTGAATCGGGTACCGACTTACTCATATCTCTCAGAGATCTCACACATTCCTTTTACCAAAAATCACCCTAAAACACACCTCTGACTTATGTTTTGCAGAACATCGCATTACTGCCCCACCTGATTTTAAGGGAGTTACCCCATCACTCCCAGCCGTACCTCCCTAAGGGATGATGTCACCATAAAGGCTGCAGATGTCACCACTCCAAAACTGCAGATGTGCAGAACATTATGGATAAATCTATACATTGCCAGGTGTGCTGGTGATGATTCAGCTTTAAACTCGTTTTATTGCTGTACGAGTCGCTAGCAGTCCATCCCCTCTGTGCTGCTTGGGCTAACTAGGAAGTATTAACATGCGCAGCGAAGGGTGCTTGTGATTGGCAGAGAGTGTCAGCTGTCAGTTTTCAGCCTATCACAGCACCCATTGCTGGTATGAATTGGTATGGCTAGAAGATAGTATGTCATCTGTTTTAGCCACAGCCGCAGCAGGGGCAGGGCTACGGGAAGTCTTTATAAACTCACTCAAAATGGTTTAACCCTGAATGGAGGGACAGCGAAAGCACTATAACCACTTCAATAATATTAAATGGGTGTAATGTCTACAGTGTCCATTTAATCAAGTATTTTATAAATATAATGGGATAAGGAGTGTTCACATTGTTATCAGCACTGCAAAAAGTTCTGCTCATTTTAAAAGGTATTCGAGATTCTGTTCTGCTTTTTACACTAATCTCAATATACAATACAACCTGTTGTCTTTTCAGGGAAATTCTAATGCAGGGTCCCCTTTCTCCTATCTCTGGGAACAAGTTACCCCCTGGTTGCATGTTACCGGGTTGATAGTTCGGTTTCGTGCTTATTGTGGATTTTGTTCTTAGACCTCCTTGATCATTGGGAGAGGTGTATAGCGTTTCCTGCACCGTTCCCAGCACATTGTCTACACACAGGTACCATTCACAGGCCTGACAGAGGGACATTGTGTGTATTTTGGGTGCCAGGAGGTGCCTATCCTTCCTGAGGGGTTAGTCATATCCTAAAACCTTCTGATCTATAGCCGTGCCCCTACTTTGCATGTATTAACAAATTCCTTCCATGACCTCACCTCATATTACATCATAGGTGGTGCACACCGCGCAATTTATAAAACAAAATCCTAATTTACAGCAGTTTATTTCCCCCCCCCCTCCAACCCCCATTATTTTTGCATTGTTCATTTAATTACACACAGCAAGTCTTATTACGGTTTCTCCAAAGCATTTTACAGGCCCCTCCGGGCGAGGCGGAGTTAATCCATACGTTGCTTCACACGCCCTATGCTTATAAAATTTCCACACTGCGTGTCTGGGCTGCCAAGGCCAAGCTCACGTCAGATGATGGGAACTGACAGCTTCATTGTAGGATATTGTGTCTTTAAAATACTTTTAATTCCTAAATAAACTGCACATTTCCTCTACAGGTGAAATCCTGCTTTCCGTTTTCAATCAGATTTATTTAAAATTTCCTTTTTAATCCGTATTGGCACAGACACATCCTGGTGTCTGCTATTTACTATTCTCCAGACGCACTGTGCTTCACTTTGTTCTGATGGTGGGAAGGGCATGAAAAGTGCTTGTGGTATGTAGACTTGGCATGTTGCTGGAAGGAAGTCAATTAATTGTTCAATGAAGCTTCTCTGGAATCCATCATGATTAGGCGATCTTCCTCTTGCGTTATATGTGCTATACATTGCCCGTGGCGGCATGGCATTTTACGGCTCTCGGCGCAACACATCTCTTGGGAATTACAAGTGAGCAATTTATTTTTTACAATCTGGGGGCATGTGGCCAATGGCTGTCTGGCGTTGGTATGCTTCGCATGCTGGTGTCAGACACAAGCTATGCACAGAATTGCCATTAGCCAGCCCAGAACTCTTGTTCCTTCTAATGACTCCCCAATGACACAAACAGAAGGAGTTAAACCTCTGGCAAATCAGAGGTTAAAGGACCACTATAGTGTCAGAAAAACACTAGTTTTCCGGGCACTATAGTGCCCTGAGGGTGCCCCCACCCTCAGGGTCCCCCTCCCGCCCGGCTCTGGAAGGGGTAAAAACTTACCTTTTTCCAGCGCTGGGCGGGGAGCTCTCTGCCTCCGATCCTCCTCCGTTCCTCCCTTTTGGCTGAATGCGCGCACGCATTCAGCCGGTCGCATAGGAAAGCATTATCAATGCTTTCCTATGGACACTTGCGTGCTCTCACTGTGATTTTCACAGTGAGAATCACGCAAGCGCTTGTAGCGGCTGTCAATGAGACAGTCACTAGAGGATTTGGGGGAAGGCTTAACCCATTCATAAACATAGTAGTTTCTCTGAAACTGCTATGTTTATAAAAGAATGGGTTAAGCCTAGCTGGACCTGGCACCTAGACCACTTCATTAAGCTGAAGTGGTCTGGGTGCCTAGAGTGGTCCTTTAACTGCTCTGTAAATGCACATACAGAGTTTAATAGTGAAATGTTGCACATACATACACCAAGCACCATGACCACTTCAAATCAGTTATTTAGATTAACCCTATAACCTGCATCTTACAATTCAGGTTTCAGTGTATATCACAGTTTAGTGAATAAGCCCTGTTTTTGCCAGCACAATATCTAGGTATCGTTTTCCATAAAGTCTTGTCATGCCTGGTGCGCTGTTAAATCTCTTTAAAACCGAAGGACTGGCCTTTTAGTACAATTTGCAATGTGTGTGGCTGGCAATCTGTCTTGTGAGCACGTGGCTCTGAATTAATAGAACGATAATCTCAGAATGCATCACCTTTTATTAAACATACCTCCATGCAGATTGGCAAACTTCCCAGACTGCTACCATGGCAACAGCAATCCGAAATCTACCCTCACCCGAGAGTGACTTTATCAGAATATATAATCCTTTCATTCTATACAGTGATACGCTAGGTTTTCCGCATTGGGCATTTGTTGCCAGAGACTCAGCTGACACATGAACTGTCTCCTGCAAATATGATGAGTGCAGAACGTTTCAATCCCTGATTAAAGGGAGTCCGAACCGGTTTAATACACAGTGCGTTGGACGTTACTGGTGCACCCTATGTCTACTTGTTGCCCCAGTGTCCAGACTTTTCTTTAGTCTATAGTCACTGTGAAAGTCATTTTAGGGATAATCTAGTCTGACTGCAAGATGCAGTGACCAGGAAGTGGCTGATATTTCCCAGCCACGTCCTGTGCCGTTCGTTCATTTTCATGTGGGAATTAATTCACATTAATGAGATTTCACATGGCTGCAAATTCTGTCATTAAAAATGTTTTGAAACCGTGTGTGTATGCATGTAACAGCTGCAAGTGGGTGAGCGGGTTTAATCACTTCCTCTTCTGAAGGATTTGTTTTCTTCCACTAAATATTTATCTCTTGTCCTGCAACCATAGGTGATGGCTGTATGTTTGTGGTTTGTTTAGATTGACTCGCTGTCCGATGCCCTGCTGTTGCTCTGATACCTAGTCTGTCTGCAGATGATAAAGAGGGTTCTGGTGAATACTGTCCTGCGAGTCTGACGCAGCTTGTTTGGAAATGAAAAACTGTTGCATTTACACAAGGCAACATGGTTTTCTGAAATGTGATGTTTAAACTCCGACCAGACGATGCCACAAGCTTGCATCCTGACTTTCCCACAGTACATCAATGGCTGTAGTCTTAATTCCTTGCATTTTTGTGTCCAGGCAATGCCCTGGGTAAATATTTTTCCTCGACTCAGTCGTTCCATAAAATCAGGCGTGCGACATTGCATGATGAGTAGGGTGTGATGTGCGACCACATTCCAGGTTGCCAAGTGATGCCCTTTAAATTCTGTATGCAGGCCTGCGATTGGCTCCCAGCCAGAAGGCGCAGAGGATTGGTGCTGGTGGCTGAACATATTTCACTGACACAGAGAGGGCTCCTTATAAAGTCCAAAATGTAGAATTAAAAGTAACTAATCATCTTAGAAAAGTGTAAAATGAACTAAACCCTTTTGACACCCTCCCGCTTTCCTTCTGTATTCCTATACTATTTGAAAACAATAAAGAATACCCTATATAAAAGGGTAAAATATGTAACACCACACCCTCATACGGGTGGGGAAAAAAGGGTTGTTCAAAATATATATATAATTTATGGGAGAAACAGAAGGAACGTAATATAGAGTTCAAGTTGAATTCTTTATTAAATTCCCTCAGTCTCGTGTTTTGTTAGGCTTGGGAACAGGACGATATGTCATTAGAATGGAAAAGTGATTTCACTCACATATACATTAAAAGCAGTGTTTATAAAAGACTTCATTCATGGCAGGAGATGTAACATTAATAAAACTGGAACAGTCTGACCGAAGGAATTAAAATAGATCTATTGTACATTTTATTATCAAAATCATTTGCCTGATTCTGTTTGGTTTTTATTTGAATTTTTATTTATTTATTTTTCTTTAAATTAACATTTATATGAAGAATTCTAGAACTTCTTATCACGCTGGGTTTAATTTGTAAACCGTGAATGACTGACTAAATAAAGGCAACATTTGGAAACCTTGCTTGGCTACAGCCACATTTTGCCCATAATGTTACTTTTTTGTATTTGTATTCACTGCAATTCATTATATTGTGGATAAACCGCTTGGTATTAACTGTAGATGTAAATTGCTGCCCATAGTATACATTTTATTATGGAGTTTAAAAGGACGGCCATTTTCCTATTCCTGCGTTTGCAGAGAGAGCGACAGCCGATTCATGTGTCGTTATTTCGCTAAGTACCTTGCAGAAGCATCGTATGAAGATATAAACTTATCAGCTGTTATTTTACACTGTACTTACATGTCTATTATAGAAGAATATTACATTATAAAGGCCAGGCCACAAGGGTTTACAGACTAGGCCTCAAGCCTGTCTGCTGCGTCCGATTTTCCTACATTGGGTTATTAACTAAACTCTTTACTTAAACTGAAAAATGGCAAAATCCAAACTATGACGATCGTGAAGTTAGTAACTTTTATTTTGCGATTTTATTTATTTTATTTTATTTTTTTTGGGGGGGGGGTTTTCTATGAATAGGCCTCAGTGGATATGACGCTGTGACTCTGACGAGAAACTGACATGTCCGTTTCTTAGTTACACAAACAGTGGAGCACCTTAAATAGCGTTGGGTGTTACAGAGTGGAACGCGTAGCTGGGATGTGGAAATAAACATGGCTGTGGTTTGCTGCTGCTCACGGTTTAGAGAGGGAAATGGTGGAAGGACGGTGTGTACCAAGAATAAAACTAATCACATGCCCTGTGTTCCAGGGCCGATTCCGCTCCCTCAGAAGCTGTTAGCTGAAATTAAAATGTTTAATATTAAGTGTTTTTTCAATCTGCTGAAATAACTTGATGCGGAAATGAGGCATCACATTGACTGGTATTTTATACAGTCTGCACAGAGGAAGTGGCTTGTGTTTTGGTCTCCGTACAAACTTTTACTTATATTATTTATTTAGTTCAGCAGCTGCTTGTGCAGAATTCACAAAGTAAGTGTTTAAGTAAAATTTTACCTATATATTTTTATTTTTTTTATTTTTTTTAACGGACTCACTTTAGTTTATTTGGGGCATCAAACCCCATTGAATTCTGTTTGAGCTTTCCCCCTATATAATTCACTGTTTAGTGAATAGGTTCCTTGGTTAGGAAGAGCCTGACCAAGGAACAAGTTCTGTGACGTTTATTTACTAATCCAGTTCTCTAATGTAGAGAATAGATAAACAAATTACAAATTTAGGGCTGCAATAGTCCAGATTTGATTTTATTTTTTCTAAAAAAAAAAAAAAAAATTAAAATTTTAGTGAATAAACTGACTTTCTCCATTTGTGGTGAAGAAATATTAAGAGACTTTACCATGGAACACACAGCTCTGTGTTTTGTTAAACTTGTGACTGACAAAATAAAAACCATTGAGAGTATTGCATGTGAAGGATGCGATTTATTTTGTTGCTGTATACGTATGGCCCGCGGCTCTGCGAAGTCTACATCCACATAAAAAATCTGTGCCCCCGGGCTTACATTTCACCTTTTTGTATGTTGCTGTATCTCTCTGGTTGACCTGAATGCAGAATAATGGGAAGCCCCCCTTTAGTTAGTTGAAAATCTGATAGCTTTCGTGGAGAAAAATTAACAAGGCCAGTTTCTCCAGAGCAGCCTATAATCACTGAAAAAAAGAATTATCTAAAAAAGAAAAAGAAAAAAACAAACCAAAAAAAACCCCTCACCATGAACATCCAATTAGTAGGTTGATGAATGGATTAAAGGAACACTCCACTGTCCCAAAACAAAACCCTATTTAGGTACCTGCATCATGTTTCATTGGAGGTATGTTTACTAATTCTGCATTTATTTTTCATTGAGGGTATATCTAAAAAAAAAAAAAAACAGCTTAGAAAACCTGCAGATCTCTCGTCTGCTGCCTTTGCAAGCCCTCCCCTTCTAACCCCGCCTATACTGTATGTGACTGTCCAATCAGAGACTGCCCAATGCAGCTCAATGTGAAGTGTTTGAAAGTGGTCTGAAGTTTCCATTTAAATACGAGAGAGCCCTGTATTACACCAGATGCAGCCTAGGTGAGTCGTTTTAATTTACCCCGGCTGGTTACCCCTCCATTGTTGGAGTTAGTAGGCCACATTCATCATTCGGTCCTTGAGCCACGCTTTCCTTTCTTCTTTGCCTTGTTGACACTCATTTTCTCACATTTTTGGGCGAGGCGGCATAGGTGTGACTGGCGTACTTTGTCAGAAAATACCTTGTAAATCCCGAGTGTTTATAGAAACCACAGTCTCAAGTGCAGTGCAGATTTTGCTCTTTAATGGATTGGTTTGATTGTCATTGCTAATCTCCATCTTGAACCATCTGATTTATTGCCGATTTAAAAACATGGAAGCAGGCATTAACGTTTTGTTTTATCGCTAGCTTTGGGATCATTTGTACCCGTTTTGCCAACCTGCTGTAGAGGAAATAGGATGTGTTTATAATCTTCATTTATCTTCTTCATCCCAACCTACTCTATAGAACCTTTCAGCAGGAAAGGGGTTTACTAACGTATCTATTATCTAATTTTGTATGTCCTCTTGATAAGGGCGGCCATTTATTCTGCCAGTTCCTATGATGTTACTCCACCATATCTCCACCCGTTCTGTCCCTGCGTCATGGTAGCTTTTTGGAATTGTGACTCGTACCACTGATGGTATCGTGTATCTACAGGATAGGTAAATGGCCCACTGGTCACCGTGCAAAACATGCCATCATAAAACAATAGTGGGATAATTATCAGCAAATTGAGAATTTAATTGCAGATGGATTCCCTGATATTTAATGTTTGCTTATATAGCAAGTACAGATTTCGTCAAGATATAAGAAAACAGGAAAATTATGACACACAGTCCAAAACTTTCAGTCCTGGAGCCAAATGGTGTTCCCAAGTGCTTTGGTGTTTCATGGACACAGAGATAAAAAGAAAAAACAATGGTGTAGTATGTTTTAAAAGTCGGTATCAGAAACTTATAAAGAGAAATTTATTCCCTTACCATCTCATCTTCTATTGCTCCCCAACTCTTAGTTTAATTTACAGAACAGAGAATTAAAACTTCTAAAGCAAATTAAGGTCTGAATGAAAATGTAAGCCATTTTTGTAATGCAGTCACAGCCAGGGGCGGTGTGTCTAGGGCTGTATAAACAGAAACAAAAGTGATTTCACCCCTAAATGGCTGAGAATTGAGCAGTGAGACTGCAGGGGCATGATCTGTACACTCTGCATGGGTGTGATTAAAGGATATCTTTGCTAGACATGCGCGCTGTGTTTAATGAGCACAGCATTCAGGAGGGCAGCAGAGAGACTGGCATGATCTGGCTTTAACATGTTCTTCTGCTGCAGGGCAGACAGCGATATTTGGGCACGGTTTGATATTTAGTTTCTGTCTGTAAGATGGAAAGTGAGGGGTGTATAACCCCCTCCCCCAGCCCATATACAGTCTGCTTCTCGCCTGCATTCTGCGTGGCTGACATCACTGCTAGACGCTCCGTACCATTCCTATAACGCTGTCCAGATCGCCTTACCTCATGGTTAGAAGGAAGCAGACTGTTTGTTTTATTCCATAGTACAGGGAGTAGATCCTGGAGAGGTCACAATCTGCTTAGGGACTTATCATGAGTCCAGTGACCCCCTCCATGGGCACCGTGGCACATGGGGATGACTAACATACAGAGGTTTATTTATCTGCACCAGTCACTAAAACTTGAAGCCTCAGGAACTCAAAACTAACTGGGAACATTCATCAAGTCCACTGTGCTTCCAGACCAGCTATTTGTGCCTTAAATCTGAAATTCACCTTACCGGGGTTATTTAGTAAAGTGCAAATGATCTGGAATTGTGAAGAATTGATATGGAAATTACAAACTTTAATTGAAAATACTGAAATGACTAAATTCTCCAACTCCACTCAGTTCCTACTTAAAAGGAGTGTGACTATTTTGACTATTTTATATTTTATAACTGTCCACTTTGTCCATTCTCATCTACATTGTTCCACTACCATCTCTCCTGAGCAGATGTCCTAGTATGTACAACCCTTTTCTCAATCTATATATTCTAAAGTTACAATCAAATTATGTCCTATTGACGGAGCTGCCCCCTTTATTTTAATTTTTTAAATATATATATCCGATCATTGTGGCCTGGTGTAATATCTCATTCAGCCCTGTATAGCACAGTTTTGTGGCTGCGTGGCCAGGTAGATAATGACCCCCATTCGGTTATAGTGCAGACACGAACTATTTAATAGTCAGTGGATGGGATTCCGATATCACACTGCGTGACTCATTGCTACATCATTTCTGATTTCACCAGAATCACATTTCCTGTTGAACAAATAGAGACATTTTTAAGATTTTTGCAGCTGTGGGGAAATTTTATATAGTTTAATGCTCTGAAGATAAAGAAATATATTATTTTTATCTTTTTTAATGTGTTTTTGAAAATCTTCTTGGTTCCCCCCTCCTGTGGCGTGCAGGTCAGTGAAGGGTTAATAAATCAGTGGATTGAGGTTTTTTGTTTGTTTGGTTTTTTTGATGTGGGCCCCCCAAGATTAACAGCCATGGGAGGGGTTGCCTTATTTTTTTTTATATATCAGGATAATGCTTCCTGTGGATGCGGTCCATGAAAGCTAGCATCTGGTAGCTCTGCGCTGAGCCTCTGTAATTCTAAGACTCCCTGAGCATGTGGTGAGCCTGGCGTTTTTAGAAGGCCCGCTCTCCAGACTCTATAATTGGGCTCCATGCTGACAGAGCAAGTCCAAGGCTTTTATTCTCTTCAGTAACGAAACCGTCAATAGACTGAGAATATCAACATTTAACTCTTTAATGGATCCTGTCACACCACAGAACCCTTTCGTTGCCATACGCATGCTGGACGGTCTAATTGTGTGTTTTATTTTTGCAATGTGATGTGACCCTGAAGTGGCATTCCGGAGATCAGTAAATATTGGGAAACACTGGCCGGGGAGTGTTTGCATTCAGCCAGTTTATGGCAATTTGGGCATTTCTCTGTATTTGGCCACCAATGTTTCCATTGAACACGCTCTGCTAAATGTGACGGTATTGCTTGTCGGCAGAATTGCCCCAGTTTTACTTTCCCATCAATTCTCGACCTTTGCTTTATGCCGCAATCATTTGATGCAGACTGTTACGTCTGTGTGTAAAACCATAGATTTATCCTTTGAGACAGAAACAACAAGAGATAATTAATTAATAGCACCATAATCACCACAAAGCACTACAGTAGTTATGGTGCCAGGAGGACCTGGCTTCCTCCCAGAGTAAGTTGTCATACCATTTAACCTTGTGCCAATGAGCCGGCACTGCAGGTTTTAGCTCAGGGTAGCTAAAGGAAGCTCTATATACAGGAGTCTTCATTAGGAAGTGACTGGCCCCCTGTAGAATACTTACCCAGAGCGCACGCTAGGGCACTAACGGGCTGTTCTACTGCAACTCCCATTATCCTTGGGCGTCCTTTAAATAAATCTTGCTGTATAAACATTATGGTTCAGTAAGAATAGAAGTGGGGGCTTTATCCTACTTATTAACTCTGATTTTATAGAGGAATAGTTTGTAGCCCTCTGAAAATTGGTAATAAATATAATGGGGGTATTTACACCCCCTGATTGCTGATATCTCTGACTCTACTTGTTGGCTGAACATACTGTGGATCTGTGTGTTAATGCTGTTGTAGAAGGTGTGAGCACTACACCTACCTGAGAGAACGTGTTTATAGTGTAATAAATTCCTAGGACTTCTGACACATGCAAGCAAGGTGCATCTTGTAGATCTTGACTCATGGGAAAGGAGGAATGTAGGGGGGGGGGGCAGACTTTGAAATATGACCGTGATTTAATCTGCGATAAATAATGAAACTCACCTCAAATATTCTGAGGAAGGTAATCGTTTGACATTTTACATGCTGATCTCTCGTTACCTGGAGCATTTCGGCAGCCAAGCATAAGAAAATGAAATCGTACAGCTTGTCATGCGGACAGGCGTGTTTTTCATAATGTTATCTGCCTTAAGAAGCCATTAATCCTCACTTTATTTTTTTAAATTGCCATTGGACGACATGCCCCAGTTTCATTGAAGTGGTTATAGTTCTTGGAGTTACACTTTAAAAGAACACTATAGTGTTAGGAATAAAAGTGTGTAATTCTTACACTCTAAGCCCCCCTTACATCTGGTTCCAAAGGTGTTTACTCGCCTCCTTCTAACGTTGCACAAGTCTGTCACGGCTGGTTGTTCCCCCCCCCGCCCCCCCGCCTGAGATCAAAGCATTGGGAGGCTATCCCGCATGTGCTGCTCCAATCCGCATCTTCTCATAGAGATGCACTAAACCAACTCATTTCTATGGGGAGCATTCAGTATTTCCATGCAGAGGACGTTGTGCAGCACTGCTCCAGGAGGCACCTATAGTAGCCGTGTGAGGAGTGGCCACTGGAGGGGTCCCTAGGCTGTAATGTAAACACTGCAAGGACTGACTATAGTCACCAGAGCAAATACAGCATCCCTTTAAGGACAAAATGGCGGAGCTGGATAAATAGCCACCTTGGAGAATTGTTGCAGTTAGACTATTCTAGCCTAACACTCTTATTTTAATACAAACTGATATTATCTGGGAGAGTGTCAGGTCGAGGGGTAACCCCTAATCTGAATATACAAAGACTAAGCAGAAAGCTTAGCTATCAAATTGGATATAGAATTTAGAGAGAAAAAAAATACAAAATAAAACTAACCCTTAATAGAGTCAAATGTAGCGATGGTAGAACATGATACCACTGCTACGTTTGACTCTAACGGTTATTGTTTCTTTTTTTCTCTCTCTAGATTCTATATCCAATTTGATAGCAAACTATGAGCTCCTGTTTCAGTTGGCCAAGATGTATTTTGTTTTTTCCTTTTTCTCGAACTAGTCTTTTTATTCCAGCAGTTTTTGTTGGACCCCTATATCCTCATCTGGGCCATTATCTCTGTTTTCTTTGCATGTTCTACACTAGTTTTACATAGGTAAATCATACCTTAATAAACTCTATTTGTGGGTTGCTTTTATCAATGAAGGGTTAGGATTGTGAGGGATTAGTTATGGTCTAACTTTTATTCTCCCTTCTACTTGCTGCTTAGTCTTTGTATAACATTCTATTTTACTTCGCTGGTGAATTCCGTTTTCGTAAGTAAGTGCTAATCAATCGCTTGCAAATCTCCACTTACTGTAATCTAAACATGGAAATGCAGTGTGCAAGGAGCAATTATGTTGCAAAGCTCTAAACGTGGAGCAGTTGCCATGGAAACCCATGTATTGCGGATTCTGTATACAGCTCAGTTGTGTGTGTCACTGTAGTGTTAATAAGACCAGAGCCTCTGCATCCGGTCATTCTAAATGTTTGTCCTGGGGTTTGTGGGTACCTGCATTAACCCCTTAAGGACACATGACATGTGTGACATGTCATGATTCCCTTTTATTCCAGAAGTTTGGTCCTTAAGGGGTTAAAATGCTTTGGATCTACCATACCGCGCATTATTCAGAGTCTGGTCACTCCTAGCCGAGAGTAATCGGTATTGGTTGGTGTTCCAAACTGCGCAATAACAAACGCACCTTGATCATTGGGTACGGTCTCTGCGTCTGTCGGAATACATGTTGGGTTAGACCGTGTAATTGTGAGACTTGTTATTTGGGGACGTCCGTAGCTAGGAGGGTTATTGAATAGTCCTGTCCATCTGCATTCCGCACATATTTTGAGCCATTTATCGCCTGACGGGCGTGTTACTCTCCCTCCGGCACTGTAAACATTGTTTGAAACTTTTCAGCATACGTTGGTTGTCTGTAAATATTTTGTCCACATTATTGCAGGTGTTAAAAACAGACATCGTTTTAAACACTTAATCTAGATAATTAGGGATGTTATCTGACTCTAACAGTTATTTACTAAGGTGAATTCACGGGGAATTTAACTTAATTGGAAACCTTCTCAATGACGCCAATTCGACTACTTTGGCCTTTACTTTGAAATTCACTTTGAATTCTTACATTGGTGAATAACCGGTATATAATCTGTCACTCTGGTAATAGGGTACGATTTCTTTGTTTTTTTTAACCTGTTAATGACCAATAAGTCTTTCCTAAGTAAACGACTTTTCCAGATGCCCCTAGTTATGATGAGGTTAACTAAATTGAACGCAAAACGGACCCAAACTCCAGCTGAAATAGTATATGTATAAACCCTTCCAAACCTTATCAGAACCCAAGACTTACAGAGCTATTTGCTAAAGAGGGGATTGCTGGGAATTCAAAGATTTAAAAAAAAAAAATGTCAAATTGCCGTGATGGCAATGCCAGACTAGTTCTCAGGAACCCAGGGTAGATATCTCTCAGGCCTGTAGGAGGTGCTTTTAATTTTTCTGTAAACTTCCTGAGCCAATTGTTCTGCTAAAAAAAAAAAAAAACCATTTGCTTTAGAACTAAATGGCAAGTGGTTAAAAAATAGACATATTTTGGATTCCGATGGATAAAGAAAATGCTTCTACAGATAGTTTTTTTTTTTTTGAGGCCGTCCAAAAGCTGAGACAGACGATATCTTCATCTTTTTGCATGTAAAATAAAAATGAAATTCTTGGCTAAATATAGACTGTTCCTTAGGACAGGCAGACTCTGCATTGAAAGGGAATCTCAGTAAATTGTTTGATTTTTACAGTAAGCAAATCCAAGTCCAGCTCTGAAATCTAATAAACCGGATTTCTCAGTGACGAGACCACAATGGGGCAACATTTTTCATTTCTCGTTAAAGGCAGCTAATAGGGAGCGGGTCCGAATGATCTATGCAGAGCTGGTGATTTAATCAATGAGCAGAAATGTAACTGAGGATTGTAATGTGAGATACTGGGAGTTTGGCTAAAAATTGTGAGTTGGGTAAAATAAAAAACCTGATTTTTACACAGATCAAAAAAGGGTCCTTATATCACAGCAGTCATGGTGGCTGGCTTAGGTTGTTGTGAGTTGTATAAATCAGCTTATTTTGGAGTAATGTTATAAATCTACTTTAATATTGCAATACCCCTGTCCCCACCCCAGACTTCCTGCTTCTCTCTCTAAATATGCTGTATGTAATACTAAGGGTGCCAGTATATTGCCATTGTAGAACTCGAACTCCCATAACGCTCAGTTACCTGCATGTGACTAGGAATACTACCTGCTGATCACACCATGTATACACAGCCTGTGGTGGGTTCTATGTTCTGGTTTCGATATTCATGGTTCTTGTGTTTATTGCAGGTGGGAGGAAGAACTGGCCAAGAGGAGAAGTCTGGAATCCATGGTGGAGTCTTTACAGGAGGTAACATAAACCATTAAAAGCGGAATCTGAGCTTTATATTATTGCAATAGAATTGTTTTTCTGGTTTTTACCCCCTTCATACCCTTTATGCTGCCATGGACTTCAGCTCCTAGCCAGAAACCTGGTCCATGGGAAATATAGTCCTCAACTACTTCCAGCCACTCTAGGCACCCAGACCACTTCAGCTTAATGAAGTGGTCTGAGGGCCAGGTCCCTCTAGGATTAACCCTTTCTTCTATAAATGTTGATCTTAAGTGATGGTAAATGAAGGGAAAGGAATTGTACTTATAATTTCCAGATATGTGCGCCTGGACGGTACAATCCCCGCCTATGGATATGTAAATGGTCCTTGGATGTCCTCAAAAAGGGGGTCTCCAGTGGTGGTAGGGTAGATCTCTTTTCCAATGGCAGTAGGCCGGTATTCGAATAATTGTTGATTATATAAAAAAGATAAAAACACAAAATAGGGGGGGGCGGAGCTAGCAACCGACAGCAACGGTCGCTCTCTGCATGAGCTCCGACAAACGGGCACGAAAAACGCCCTAATCCTGCTGAACATAGGGGTACAACTCTCCTTACGATGGGGAGAAAAACCAAGAAGCCCCGTCCGGATCGACCGAGATTCTGTGCCTATATCGGCGACCTCCTGAGGGGACCACATGGCGCGGGGAGGACTGACATGGCGGCGGACATGGGAGACTTCTCAGACGACTCGGCTGACTACTCCCTCCACGATACAGAAGAGCGGGGAATTAACCCTACAACATCTGCCCAGCCAGCAGCCAAAGGGTCAGAACCTCTCACCACAGGGATACTTACCGGCCTCCTGGCGGATCTCCGCCACAGCCTCTCCTCAGAAATCTCCCAGGTGAGAGAAGACCTCAGGGGGTTCAACGGGCGCCTAAATATAATTGAGCAGACAGCCACAACACATGCAGCCCACATCCAAGGGCTGCAGAATCAGATTGCCACTCTCACTGCAGCTCACGCCACTCTGAGCCACCAACTAGCAGCAATGGAGGACAAGAGAAGGTGGAAACACCTTAAGATCAGGGGCCTCATGGACACTATCACACAAGCAGAACTGCCCCACTGCCTGCGCAGACTCTTCACAGCACTGTTGTCACCCAAACAGGCTAAAGGCATCACAGTAGAGGGGATGTTTTGGCTCCCGAAGCCTCCTGCAGCTGCGGCCTCCAACACCAGCGACCTACTGGTCAAATTCCAAAACGGCCAAGATAAGGCAGCCATCTTGAAAGCAGTGAGGGGGAAACCCCCATTCCGCTTTGAGGATATGGACGTTACCTTCTACTCAGATCTCTCTCGACCGACACTTCAGTGGCGGAAGACGCTACGACCCCTCACATCCATACTATCAACGAACGGAATCAAGTACCGATGGGGCCCAACACACAGGCTCATTATCCAGCATCAAAACACGGAGATCAAGGTAGCGGAGGCATCGCAGATAGAGGCAACCCTGACCAATCTGGGCCTGAACCACGCAGCAACGCCGGCACCGACAACATGGGATCCGGCCAACTCTGTCCCGTTCATCCCGGCTAATCGGAACTTACCCAACCGTGCAACTACGTGACTCTGGACATTACATCTTTTCATTTATATAGCTGCCTTTATATATGGTTACTTAACCTCTTGGGATTCTTTGTCTTTATCGTTTGTATCGTTTTTATCGTTTTTTTTTTCCCCTCGTATTATGAGGCACAGGCACCTCATAGGGCCAGCCTCACGCTGAGAAACTGTAGACGCAGCATAAGTTATGCTGTTGGTATTGTACCCTCTTTGTTCTTTGTTTATGTTACATACACCGCGCAACATACCACACCATGCACTAACAGCGGGTCACACCCATCTCCGCCACCTCCCAGACCTAAACAAGCCGAAACTCAGAAACACTAGCTCCTTAACGAACACCTTACCCCCCCAGCTCCCTGCTAGGAACCACTTACACTTACTCTACCAAGCGGAGCTGTGCCCACTCAGCACCCAACCCGCCATAGAAATATATCGCGTTTTCTCTCACTTTCTGAAACCACAGAGCCATACATGTCCCAGACTCCTACACTAACCACAACCATCGCTAAAAACATGACCATGGCAGTAACAAGCTACATTACCATAAAACAAAATACCACAGCCAACATCGCTATCCCACCAATGTATGCAGAAGATTAAAAACAGTGATATGCTTCATTGAATGTATTACATGCAATATATATATATCTTGTTGACTGTGACAAAAAAAAAAAAAAAAAAACACAAAATAGTGCTCTCTGGATAATACAAAATAAAATGATTTAAAAAAAAAAAAAAAAAGGGAGGTATACTCACAAGTGCAGAGCAAATAGGATATTGCTCAATATATGTAGGCGTAGGTGGTATGATCCCCACCAAGGATATCACTCCTCGAGTCATCCAGTGGGGGTGTTGGAGAGATTAAAAAGAATTATATTATAAAATAAAATCGAATAAAAAGGATAGGCTTGGAGACTCCAATAGGATAAATGAGCTCATTATTGGAGATAAAAAAAAAATAGTAACATAAAACAGCTTTAAAAAACACTAACGTGTTTCTCCTGCAAAGAGGCTTTATCAAAGTGTCGTACCGACACTTACATCGTACCACCAGAAAAGAGACTCTGGTTTTTGGGAAGTTTCTGCAGCCACATGCTACAATTGCAAGTTCTGATATTCCACCTACTCCTCCATGTTTCAATTAACCCTTTTGTCTTTTTTACATCAGGAAGCGCAAGAAGCGTATAACGTGCACGATGAACTGAACGAGACCATCGCGAGGTTGAAATCCGAACTGGTTGTTTTTAAGGGTCTGATGAGTGATGTAAGTAGCGACTTTGGCTCTCGCACCCCTCCTAGTCACAGGCAAATGTTTTAACCTACACCGCTTCATTCATTAGAGATACTCTGCACTGATATGTGATGTTGCTGCACTGGCAGCATCCCAGGAGCAGATAGCCAGTCACCCTGCTTCTCCACCAGCAGACCCGGCTTTTTAATGCACTGTTTGTCCCCTTTTATAAGGCTGAATCCCAACCAGCTTGTGTGTTGGAATGCCATGGTTTAAGAGCGGCGTTTGGGGGCCAGTAACCTTGTTTGCTATGGGGGGGTTTAATCCTGTGTTCTGAGGAGTGGACCATTGCTCCATGTGTTCCAGGTAATCTAACTGATGGTACATGCATGAGTTTCTGACTGCATGTCTCGCTAAAGAGCAAACCAAGGTTGAGACTGGAGAGGATGAGAAATCCGCCGTTTGCGGGCACAGATGGAAGAATTTTAGATTTTAAAACTGTTAACCCTTTCCCTGCATTTCAAAACACTCCTGGCGGTGTTATGCATAACAATAGGATTGTCCTACAGAGCAAGGAGAATGTAAATCAGACTTTATGTGATGATGGTGCGCTTAGCATCGTAAAGGAATGCAGTAAGTATTGGCGGTCACTGAACGCAATAGATAATCTGCCAGTTGGCTATTGGAAGTTTCTGCTGGCACCTGGATGGCCAAGGGAAAAAATAATTTGTGTTTAACAAAGCTGAAATAGCGCCATGTTTATTCCAAACACGATATTCAATCGCAGCACTAAGATTAGAGGCGCTCTTCTGACCACCATTCCATAGGTTATGGTAGTGGCACAAGAATGGCAGTCACACTTTGTAAAGCCATTAATGTACCTCGCTGCAGGCTCAGATCTCCTATAGGGGAGGCTGCTTTGGGGGCAACTGGACTTTGCTGCAGCTTTACACAATCCCTTCACCTTGTGTACCTGTCACAAAGTGTCACAGTAACCAAGGGATTTCACTAATCCTGACAGTGAAGGGGTTACTGCGTGCATTTATTACCAGACTATACTGAGAACAAAATTAACCCCCCCCCCCCATCCAAAACTGCTGCAAAATGAACCTTTGCTCTGCTCATAAACCATTCTTAACCATCCAATAAGGACATTTTCCTGGGAATAAACTGCTGTGACTGTTAAATGGAGCAAGAAATGGCTTTGGGAAGGGCCATGCAGTGCAGTAAATTAAGGGTTATTAAATGGAACCACGAGAAGGAGTTTGATAGTGCTGTGTGGTCCCCAGCCTCCAAAAATAGCACAGGGAGAAAACCCTTTAAATGCCAGGACAGTCTGCTTAGGTACCCAGAGGGTTAACGCACTGCTCGGCTGCAATCCCAGGCTCCGGTCCTTACTAGGTAATCCAGAGATTGCAGGGATTCCGGCTTTGGTGACGCTAGCCTCCTCCTTTTATATTGTCTGCACCAAACTTGAAGTACAGTCTCGAAACAAAAGCAAGGCAGGAAATAGAGCTGCATAGCACAGTTCACTTGTGGAAAATCCATTCACAAATCTGTCAGGCACAAGGGCTTATTCACTAAACGTAGAGTTGTGGAGGATTTAAAAAGACATTGTGGGACAAAATAGCCAAAATGCATAAATTCTGACTCCTATTTTCACTCACAATTTGCAATTCCCAGATTAAGTCTCCAACGTCCAATTTATTAAATCCCAAGTGTATAGCGGTTCCCTCTTTGGAGCAGAAATTTGGCGATCAAACTGAATGTCCGATAGATCAGTGGTACAAAACGTGCTGCTAGCTTGTTCTGGAACTACAAACCCTATGATGCCCAGCACGTCATTTTATTCTGATTCCTGAGCGTCATGAGACTTGTAGATCTGGGATACCTGCTGTGAATGATCTACAAGTTATTGCAATTAATGTAAATCTGTTCCTGTACACGCCATGTGCCTCATGTAAGCACTGGGCGATGGAGCGCAGGTTTAGTTTATAAGGCGGTTCCGGTCTGTGCATAAATCCAGCGAATGGACACAGTAACAGCAGTATTCTGAGTACAGCAGGGAGTTGGCCAAAAATGTAACGCCAGAGTGTGAAGTTAACATTTATTTAAAGTAACAGCTAAGAGGCTTTTTTTTTTTTTTTTTAAATCTAGATTTTGACCTAAAGTGGCAGAATGAATTTTTTTTTATTTATTTTTTTAAAAGCATTTTCTTATCCTCCTGAAGGGACGTTCCTTTCTAGTAGCCAGCATGGTTTATAGAGTTACATTTTCCTTATGGATTGTATTAAAGGGCCCCTCTGATTCCCATTCTGATGAGATGCTGTGTAAACGGTATTGATAATAACCCGATCTGTGCAGAGAGATCCCGGTGTGGGGCAGTAAATGTTCTGTATGGAAGGGGGGGTTGAGGTTTTAGAGCAGCTGGGACCCTAACTCAGAATAGAACAGCAACAAAAATAAACCAGGATTATACATTTCCTTCCAAGGATCTATATCTATTTTCTGGTACAAATTAATGGTCCGGTTACCTTGTATAAGAAGGAGGAATTAAAGGGGAAGTATCACAAAAATAAGACCTACATAGTCCATTTTATCGAATACTTTACAGCTGTAATTCGCTGACCTTTATTGTAAAAGATACTGGCGGGGTTTTTTGTTTGAGTCCACATTCTTTAGCGACCGTCGTGACCATTGCACTAGTTCACCATACATAGTTTTGGCTGCCATATCACAAAGGTAGAAAGTTATCTGCGTGGTAGGGGCCATGTATTTATGTCCGAGCTGTAGCTTGCAATATAGCATGTCATTTAACAGTCAGATAATAATGGTATTTTAATTATGTAGAATTTCTGAATAATGTACGTCACTGCAGTATAGGTCAGTGGACCGCGTTTCCCATGAAGCTCAGAATCATGGCCGCATTATAGGAAATGTAGTCCATACCAGCTGCGGTGCCCTTATTGGTATAGTTTGTTCATTGACTTTATCATGTGTAGAAATGTTCAAATTAAACAACAAAGCAAAGGTTTGAAGCCATTTTTATTTTTTGTATCTATATCCCATCAGCAAGATTTGCTTTGTAATATTTTATGAGAAGTACTTAAGTATTATTTTCCTGTAAGAGAGGATAATGTATAAATGTCCCCCGTCCCCCCTCCTGCAGCCAATGTCAGATCTCGACTCAAAGATCCAGGAAAAGGCAATGAAAGTGGATATGGACATCTGCCGGCGGATTGATATCACGGCCAAACTGTGCGATGTGGCACAGCAAAGGAACTCTGAGGATGTGTCCAAGATGTTTCAGGTGATTAGGCTGCTCTGTCTCTTAACTTTCCATTCAGGTGTAGGGAGAGCGAAGGGTACAGGGGAATGCAGAGTCAGGTCTACCTGTGCGTTCCTCTTAATGCTTAGAAGGGTAAAACCGTAAAGGAACACTATAGTCACCCAAATTACTTTAGCTAAATAAAGCAGTTTTAGTGTATAGTTCATTCCCTGTCAATTTCACTGCTCAATTCACTGTCATTTAGGAGTTAAATCACTTTGTTTCTGTTTATGCAGCCCTAGCCACACCTCCCCTGGCTATGATTGACAGAGCCTGCATGGAAAAAAAACTGGTTTCACTTTCAAACAGATGTAATTTACCTTAAATAATTATATCTCAATCTCTAAATTGAACTTTAATCACATACAGGAGGCTCTTGCAGGGTCTAGCAAGCTATTAACATAGCAGGGGATAAGAACATCTTAATTAAACAGAACTTGCAATAAAGAGAGCCTAAATAGGGCTCTCTTTACAGGAAGTGTTTATGGAAGGCTGTGCAAGTCACATGCAGGGAGGTGTGACTAGGGTTCATAAACAAAGGGATTTAACTCCTAAATGGCAGAGGATTGAGCAGTGAGGGGCATGTTCTATACACCAAAACTACTTCATTAAGCTAAAGTTGTTCAGGTGACTATAGTGTCCCCTTAAATCCTGTAAGCTATGTGACTCTTCGATGATCCCTCTACCCCTCCGGTTTACTTTTATTCCATAAGGGAATGTTGCTGCCATTTTCGTAACTGAATAAAGTCCCTGTGATATCAGATACCTTCTGAAAAGGCATAGCAGAGGCATTTCATACAAATCAGTTTACTCTTCCCCATTATCCTTTGTGAAGATGCGTTTGAGCCCATGCACATTTCTCTGTTTCAGAGTGACGTTCCTTTGACTTGAATGAGAACTCTGCCTGAAATGTATATTTTTTTTTAAATTCTAAACTTTGTGGTGAATTGTGTAAATGTTGGTGAATTCTGTGCTGCCGCACTGTCATTCTACCACAGGGATCATGGGAAATATCGAATTACGAGCAATAAATGACAAGTTTACACCCGGACATGAAAATAGCCTCCTGAAAGTGCAGTTTTATTAATCAAATGAAAAATACAATACATAGCCATATATAAAATACATGAATATCCTATCTCTGCATTAAAATAGGTATTCCAACATTTGAAAGATTTTCATTAACACTCTCTTGGTGACCAATTTCTAGCTCCCGTTTACTAGTGAATAATTAAAGCAGAACAATGCTCCTCAAAGTCCTACATATCTCCCCCTCCCCCCGTTCTCTTTATGCCATGTTTAATGGAACATAACCTTTTTTGCTGGATTTCTAAAGAATTTCATATCCGTTAAATGGATATTCATATTGTATAAATCATAAGAAAAATAAAGAACTGAAATTAAGTGAGACCCAACTGGTTTGGAGATTGCATTCTTACACAAGCTAATTGCACACGTGACTAAATCTCTGCCCAGACCTGCTACTTCTGTCCTCTGCAAAACGCCTCTGGTCAGCACCCAGTTCTGTTGGTGTTGCCTGCTGTCCATCTTATGCTTTTCCTCTCTAGTTAAAAACCTGCATCTGCTTTGCTGGGTTAGATTGTCAGATTTCTAAATTAGATTAGCTCTTGCGCGGATTTCATCTTATCAAAATCTGTGCTGGGCACTCATCTCGCTGATTGCATGCTTTTCATTGGCTGGGAATGGCCTAGACATGGCTGCTTGTGGATGTTTAATTTGGCCACATTTTACTCCTGCTTTTTTGCTTGGTAACCTGCTGTTCTGATAAAGTAGACGACCGCTCGTTCCTTACTCCCATCTAAGTGTTGGCTGCTGGCTTTTTTTTTTTTTTTTTTCCTTAAGGTTGGTACGGTTTCTAAAAAGAAAGAGAAAAAGATAACAGTCGAAGATGACGCGTCCGAGCAGGACGGAGACGCTGGCAGGTTCTCTGACGACGAAGTCAGCTGTTCCCTCAACATTACTGATGAGATGAAAAGAATGTTTAACCAGCTGTAAGTGCCCTTTGTTAGAAGTCTATAAATCATGTTGATTGCAGAAATATATAACCATGTTTTGTGCAGGTCCCAGTTGGACCAGGGATTCTCATCTGCACAATTACAAAAAGAAAATTCCTGCACTCACTCCCATCACTCCTGGGCGGCAGCAACGACCACAGTACAAAACAGCTCCAATACATATAGTAAAAACCAAAGAAAAAAAAGTTACCTGCGCCCTCTCCTTAATCCCTATGTATATTTAGACAAAGGGAGGTCATTTAGTTACTCCAATGGCCACTGGAGGGAATTATCTGCACAATGTCTACCGCTAGAACCCACCTTTCTGACCAGTCATTAAGACTTGATAATAACTTAATGATCTTAACTAAAATCCTGCCAATATTTTACAAACCATTTCTAATGGAAGTTTTTCTTTCTCAATTAAGAGTTGAGAATTAGACACACATACTCCTTCTTTCCAGATCCAATTCTAACTGTATGTTTTAAAAATAAATTAAAAATGTGTAAAAAATGTATACACACATAGTTAACACCCTTGTTGGATCACCCCTATTTCCTGTGGCCCAGTTATCCAGTTGTCTCTGGGAAGCCGTGATTAGTTTAAGGTCAGACTTTTCCAGGGACGGCAAATGATCTCAGGAAATATCTGGTTTGTCAGCCAAGTCTGAATGGAGTCTCCGGGGATGGGGGTTTGGGGGCTGTCAGAGCAGGAGGAGCGTGTTTAAAAGATGCTGACTCTGACATAACGTCCTAACTTAGCCTATTCGTGCCAGCATGCATATCTGCGTTATTTCTGAACGGATGAGGCAAGCTGGCCAAAACAAACTCGAATAATTTATAACGCATTCTTTGCTTGTGACTGGCTAAGAAGGGATTTAACCCACAAAGTGCTGACCAAAAGGGGTCTTAAAAAGCTACTTTGTGGATAACGTTAACCATTCTTCTGCAAAGGCAAATCAATACGGCAAAACCCTAAAAGGTTACAAATCTAAGCTTTACAGTTCTGAAAAGATGGATAATATCTATATATAGGCAATACATTGTTAAACACAGATCCGCACAACAGTCAAACCATGAGTCTTGCTTTTCCCACAGAAATCTCCAATTTGCAGTGATGTTACTACTGCAAGGTATTCTGGGTGGGCATATGCAAATTAGTTCAATAAAGAATCATTATTCCTTTGAGATTTTGGTTGCTGTATACAACAGCTTTGAAACCACTCATATCTATATCTCAGGCACATAGATCTATAAATGTGTTTATTATAAAAAGTACCATTTTATTTTAAGCGGTCACCACAATCTCTCCAGTTGCATTGTATCCTCTGTAGTGCATGTATAGAGTTAAACATCTCTTCGCTTTGTTACTTCCTATGAGACCCTCAATCTGCCCACTCATTGTACAGCGCTGTGGCATATGTTGGCGTGAACTTTTTTTTTTTTTAATTAAATGCTTATGACAGGCAGTGTAGACCCAGCCTTGAGGTTGTACAACCAGCACCTCTAGATGTTAAACTATATAGATCCAGTGAGTCTCTGCCAGACAAGAACAGGTGTCTGGTTAAGCAGGCATGTCGTCGTTGTGATTTTACAGACACGGAGACCCAGTATTTGCATGATCTTTAGAAGGGTTATAGAACAAAGGCCCAGATGTCTTTGGACTACAACTTCCATAACAGAGTTTTTGTCACATGCATATGGGAATTTATATAGTGCCAGAAAATTCAATAGCACTGTACAATGGGGGGCATACTCTAGCACCCCTGTTTTTAAAATAAAGCAAATATTGCTCTCTGTACTGTGTAATCCAGGTTCAATTTCTGCTAGTACCACTGGTGGGGTTTTAAAAAGCATCAGGTACCACATTCGTGGTAAAGAAATGTACCAACAAAGTTATTTCTACATGAACAGAGCCACACAGGTCCCCATGGCGCCCACTGTCCGGACACACAGCCACACAGGTCCCCATGGCGCCCACTGTCCGGACACACAGCCACACAGGTCCCCGTGGCGCCCACTGTCCGGACACACAGCCACACAGGTCCCCGTGGCGCCCACTGTCCGGACACACAGCCACACAGGTCCCCATGGCGCCCACTGTCCGGACACACAGCCACACAGGTCCCCATGGCGCCCACTGTCCGGACACACAGCCACACAGGTCCCCATGCCGCCCACTGTCCGGACACACAGCCACACAGGTCCCCATGCCGCCCACTGTCCGGACACACAGCCACACAGGTCCCCATGGCGCCCACTGTCCGGACACACAGCCACACAGGTCCCCATGGCGCCCACTGTCCGGACACACAGCCACACATGTCCCCATGGCGCCCACTGTCCGGACACACAGCCACACAGGTCCCCATGCCGCCCACTGTCCGGACACACAGCCACACAGGTCCCCATGCCGCCCACTGTCCGGACACACAGCCACACAGGTCCCCATGGCGCCCACTGTCCGGACACACAGCCACACAGGTCCCCATGGCGCCCACTGTCCGGACACACAGCCACACAGGTCCCCGTGGCGCCCACTGTCCGGACACACAGCCACACAGGTCCCCATGGCGCCCACTGTCCGGACACACAGCCACACTGGTCCCCGTTACGCCCACTGTCCGGACACACAGCCACACAGGTCCCCATGCCGCCCACTGTCCGGACACACAGCCACACAGGTCCCCGTGGCGCCCACTGTCCGGACACACAGCCACACAGGTCCCCGTGGCGCCCACTGTCCGAACACACAGCCATTTGTGTAAGCCTGGTTTGAAGTATGATCATGCAATACAGTTCCCCATTTTGAAAACTTCTGTTCTGGCGCCATCTTGAGGACTCAAACAGAACTTGCAGCTCCACATGTGAATAGTCCCTTAAAAATGTAATTTGGATGATCTGGAAGATAGCGTGTTGGAGAATCTATAATTTAATCTTTGTAGAATTACCATTCATTAAAACCAGAGAAAGCAGATGGTCATAGATTCCAGCTTTTTATATCAAAGCAGTCAGACTTGTGTTAATCCCCATGTAGTTCCATTACTTCCTCTGTGACTACCTTTACAAGGTCCCAAATAAATTCCAATTTTTTCCCTAAACAGGCGGGAGACGTATGACTTTGAAGATGACTGCGATAGTCTAACGTGGGAAGAAAATGAAGACACTCTGCTCCTTTGGGAAGACTTTACAAACTGTAACCCACCAGCAGATGTTCAGGGAGGAGGAGAGGTAAGGTTGGGGTCTTTCTGTCAGGGACTTCAGAAACCACTTTTGTTCTCAGAGAATAATTTATAATTTCCTTTATCAGCAGCAGGAGGAAACATTGGGGAATTTGATTCAGGAAACGGAGACCTTTCTAAAAACACGAGATAAAGAATATCAGGAAACCATAGACCAGATTGAGGTGAGATACTGCTGACTTTGGCTAATTTCCACCCATCTGAGGACCACAGAGCAACTTTATTATACTTCCACTGATCACTAGCCTTGAGGTTTTTTTTTTTTTTTGTTTTTTTGTTTTTTTTAAATCCACTTCAATTCAAACTAGCCAAGCTGTAACAGGTTTATATTTTCGAAATTGTGCCCTAAAGTTTGTGATTTTTAGTTTCAAATTCATAGTTTAGTGAATAAATCCCATTGTCTGAAAGCTTTAAAAAAATAAACAACTCGTCGCTAATTACTGTTGTCGCTGTGGCTTTCCCAGACCTGATTCTAGAAATATTCATGTGATAATAACCAAATTGATGTCATGGGCGAGGAGTCCGACTCCTAAGGTGTGAAAACTGTTCTAGGTAATTCTGGCAGGATAATGGGGAGTGTACCGTCTCTCAGCAGATTTTATCAACCTTTGTGTGTGAATAATTGTTACTTATTTTCTTAAAAGCTGGAACTGGCGACTGCCAAAAGCGACATGAACCGCCATCTACACGAGTACATGGAAATGTGCAGCATGAAAAGAGGCCTCGACGTCCAGATGGAAACCTGTCGGCGACTGATAAAAGGATCTGCGGGGTCAGCGGGCAGGTGGGTAACAGATGCACTTGTACCCACTCTTACCAACATCATGTGGGCACCACTGCATCCTGCCCTGGAATAGAGGATAGCTAGACAGTATAGATCAGTCTCTTCCACGCCAGGCCTGGGCTCCTTTTTTAGGTTTCATTTTTGGAGTAATTTTCCAAAACTCTAAATCAAGCTTTCATTTATTTCCCTGGGGTTCTCCTTTTAGCATTCCTAATCATTTAACACTGAATGCAATGACTGCCGGGAGACTCCAAACACTATAACCACTTCAGTGAGATTAAACTGTTGGTGTCCCGCTCTGGCATTCTAGGAAAAGACACGACCTTGATGTTTGTTTCAGAAATCACTGTCCCTAACATGCCCTGTTGTGATACAGTGCTAATTTAATGGATAATGGTTTAGAGTTTCTTTGTTATGTAATACAGGTATTTATTTTATTTTTTTTAAATGCAGAAATTCTCCATCCACGAGTTCTGTATCCAGCAGCGACTCAGGAAACTCCGACGAAATTCAGGATGAGTTTGAGAAAGATGGAGACGGAGACAGCATAATAAGCTGATCTGTGTGACATTCCTGGACTACATAAACTGTATGATAAACATTCATGAATGAAAGACAAACTTTGGAGTCCATTCAGAGAAATTCCTGAAGAGAGACATAAACCCAAAAATACCCCCCAGCTTTCCCTCCAACTGGTGCTGTAAATGTCTATTCTTCTATGGGGAAAATATGTAAATAGAATTCTTTACAGAAAAGAAAACAAAATGTGCTGTTTTTAGCTCTGCCCTTCCCACAGCTGAGTTTTTTTTGTGTGTTTTTTTTGTCTTTAAATTGCTTAGAAAACGAGTGAAATAAACCTGGACAGGCGTTCTAGGTTTTATGATCACAGCAGACCTGTGATTGCTGCTAATCACACTGCAAACTGTAGGCAGGTTCTAAGCTGATACAGCCAGCAGTCTAAGGTGTGATTAGGAGAAATGTTCAGTTCTTCCATCGACAAAATTATTATTTTTTTATAAATATGAACTAAAATTTTGGGCTTCTTAAATATAAACGGCATAGCCCATAAGTGTAAAATTGTGTTCAGAAAGTTCCAACATTCTGTTGTGTTGCACAAATGTGTGCGCAATGTGCAAAATTGTTGTCTTGATGGTCCTGCTCATAATCTCTACAGGAAACGAAGGCTGCTGTGATCACACATACTTGTGGTGTCCATTGCTGCTATATAATGTGGGGGGGCAGAGCAATAAAAGCACGGTGTAGGTTTACTATGCAAATCGCTTGCCTTATACAAAAGGAATGTTTGCTCCCCACTGTGTTCTCCCTTACTTGAAGGGGGAAGTGTTACATATACACAGTCACTAGATCCCGGAAAACTGTTTATACTGCAGTGACAGGACACCGCCTCTAGGGGGGGTGCTGTTGAAAAGTGGCGCAAAGTTCTACAAGTAGAATGTGTCTGATACCATTGGGTTCAGTGTTGATTTCACCAATGGTTCTACTTGCAACACTTTATAATTCCTTCCTTGGTGTCGGCATTTGCCATCGCGAGGCGGCAGAACACACTGAGGATACCTCCAGCAGTGAGAAGTGTTTGTTTTTTGTTTTTTTGTATTTTTGGTTTACCCTGCTTGTCATAGCACAGGCCCCATATGCATTTCTCTGTATTTTTTTTTTTTTTTTTTTTGCAGTTATCGTATCTGTATCACTGTCAAGTGCTCTTACCGCACTGTCTGGTATTGGGCCGCAGCATAGCGCCAGACTGGCATCCTGAAGTTTATCGGTAGCAGCTGATGGTAGGCACCATAGTAATGTTTGACAACTGATGCCAGTCTTTGTAGAGACATAATGCTACTTCATGGCTAGAATTACTCACGCAGGGTGTGTAGTGATCCATCGGTTGCTACTTGTTTATCTGCGTTAACCCTGAAGCCGTGATTATTAATTTCTACTTGCTGTGATTCCTAAAGAGTTTTAATTGCTGGCGTATTGTCCCACCGTGATAGGAGCAAACATCCCCCCCATCACCCAAGGGCAGGGAGTAACTGCTCATACAGCACTGCAGCGGTCCAGCCAAAAACACTATTACTATGGAGGCTTAGTCACTAAATGTTGACAAAGTTTCCAAACTGAGATCAAAATGGAATGGGGGGGGGGGGAAATCAAATTTCATTTCTCCTGCAGTACTGGTTTCAAAGCTCTTTATGATATCACAGCAGTTCATCAACTTTACAATTTCAGAAAAACTGCCCAGCGGCTTGCCGTTAAACCTAAATCCAGGCACAAGACAAAGCGCAGGAGATAACCGGCTTCTGGGTATTAGTGGGGAGCTGGGTGATGTATACTTTTATTGGTTAAACTTTAAAGCCATTTCTGTATATAAAGAACTAGGATTAGATTATTTTATCCTACCTTGGTGGCCTTGTAATATTATTATATCCAATTTCTACTCAGACTTTTTTTGTTTGTTTGCTAAACGAGCTTTCCACAAAAGGTGTTTGCGTTTTCTTACCGTTTAGCGTAGCCAAAGCTGTAAAAAAAAGAGAGAAAAAAAAAAAATAAAAAAATCGGGGCTACAGGTGAGCAACTGTCAACATCCTTACACTGGGAGATTTTTCTTCTTTTTTAGAATTTTACAGCAAGATTCATATTCTCAGCAGTACTTCTTGTTAAACCGGTTTCCCAATTAATACTTTTTTTTCCCCTCATGTGAGTCAGAAGCCGTTACAAAGCAAGGAATAGTTGCTTTTTGCATGGATTGAAGGATGTGAATCTTGCCACAGTGCTAATGTTTCACGGGGAGAATAACACACGTTCTAACCAGAGAAGTGAAGCAGTTGCCGTGGAAACGTGTGGATTGCTACATTTTGACGTTTTTATAAATCTCCTCTATTGACTGATATTACATGATCACTTAAGATATCAAAATTACCAAACCTTTAACTCTGATAGTTGGGGCTTTGATTTTATAGCCCCACCCCCAATGCTCAGAGCTGCTTAATATCGCTGAATTGCTGGTCAATTTTAAAAAATGCTGCAGATTGGTTTCCTTTTTTTTTCCTTCGCAAGATGTGTAAATACTTCCTTTCGTATTTTATACTCTAAAATGAAGTGTCATATTGATACTTTAGACTATTAACTGCTTTTTCTTTTCTTGTACATTTTTATATGGGGGGGGGAAACAATTTGACTATTGTAAACATGTAAAATATTGAATGTGGGCGGACTGTTTAACGGTCTGGGATTTTTTTGGGGGTGATGTGATCTGGCGTCCATAAAACTGTGCAGATGGTATGCAGTATTCTGTGATTTGGGCTTCCCAGAGATGAAGAATGTCACTTTTTCATTGAAGTGAAACCCATTTAGGGGTTACCACAAATTTAAAAAAGAGGTGACTCTTAAAATGAAAAGTTATCGGGTTCCGGCAAGAGCAGAGGTTTTATGATTTGCAATAATAAAAAGGTTATTCGCTAAACCAGGAAACTGCTATTCAGGCCAAAATGTCATAACTAGGAAAGCTGTGTTCCAGTTGTGCAATTTTAATAATGTCTCCAATTCTTGGTTTAATTAAGAAATCCTGTTAAAGTTGATTTCTCCCAATTAAGTGTTCGGATCCTGCAATGCCAGTTTCGGTCAGATGTATTTTCTGCCATTTGCAACAAGGTGTCCTGAATATGCAGACCTGTATAGTGGAACTAGCAGTGGTTCGAGTTGTAGGTTAAAAAACTTGTATATAGAAAGGTCAGCATTGCTTCATAAAGACTACTTAAAAAAAAACAAAAAACCACCACACCAATATTGGAGCCCCTGCACCATGTGTTACTGCTGCTCCGGTAATATCACAGGGATAGTCACTAGCGTGTGAATTTAAAGTTATTCACTAAACCGAGAATTCAAGGTGAACCCAAACGTAAGGTAAAAATGGTAAAATTCTCTAATTCAGCTACTCTGGCTTTAAGTATGAAATTCTCTCAATTTAGTGAATACCCCTCGATTTTCAAGTTTTAGCTGGAAAATAGCTTACTTATCCAACTTTTCCCAAATTGGAGATTGTGACCTAATGCATTTAAAATGCACTGAATTCCAGGAATGCCACAGGTTTGAACAAGTCTGGCTTTTATGTTAGGTGGTGCAGTCCCTTTAACAGGCGCTGGTCATGCTGTTAAAGGGATACTGTAGTGCCAACAATACAAAGCTGTATCCCTGGCACTACCGAGCCCTCTGCCTCCCCCTCCTAGCCAGTAAATAAAAAGGGATAAAGACACTTTACTTACCTGATCCCAGCGCCGATGTCAGTCTGCGCTGGGCTTTAGCTCTGCCCCTTCATCCCGCGACGAGCGGGGTATGTGTATGCGCTGCAAATGCCCCAACGCACATTAGACCTCCCCATAGGGAAAGCATTGAATCAATGCTTTCCTATGAAAAAAAAAAAGGACACTGGAGGGCTTCCAGCATCCGCTAATGGACCAAAAGTCCGTTACGATTCCCAAAATTCCTTCAGTGGCTGTCTGGTAGACAGCCACACACTGCATGACCCTTGTGCACCTAGTGCTATGTTAAACACAGCACCCAGACCACTTCAATTAGCTGAAGTGGTCTGGGTGCCTATAGTCTCCCCTTTAAAAATCATTAGTTCAAAATAAAACTCCCTAAAGCAGGGGTAACTTTCGGCACTCCAGATGTTGTGGACTATATCTCCCATCATGCTCTTGCAGCCATAACACTGGCAAAGCATCATGGGTGCTGTAGGTTACCTACCATCTCCAACGGTATATAGTTTCAGTGACAGGATAGAAACCCTGCTTCTCCAGAGGCAGTCTGTAATGGGGTTTGTACATATGGAAGGGGGGAAGCAGAAAGTCTTTGGTTATTGCATGTTTTGAAAAGCCCAAAGATTTCACGTTGCCAGAATTTAGCAACAATAGAATTAAGGGGGAGATTTGTTTTTTATATAAAGAATTGTGTAGTGCAATGTAATCTAACCCCCTTGGAAATGGAAACTAGTAAACTATTGTAGTCTATTTATAAGATAAATTGTGTATATTCTATTTTTGTGAATTTTTTTCTTTTTAAACCAGAGAATCTGTTCAGAATCACCGAGCGAAATCTGTATCTTTCAGTATTCAATCTAAATGAATAAAACGCGACCTAATGATAAAAGTATAGGAAAACGAGGGCGACGTTTATCGTTTAACCACATGGTAGCTGAAAACACTGCGAGGGTTTATTTAGTAAACAGTGAGTCACACAGCCTGCATCCTCTAGGCTAAGGGTTCTCAACCCAGTCCTCAGGACCCCCTACCAATCCAGGATTTGGGGATTACCTGGGTGTGTCTAAGGTGTTTAGAAAAAGGGAAAAAAAAAAAACCTTAGACTCTAGAAAAAAGAAAAAAAACCTTAAACACACCCTGGTAATCCCTAAACCCTGGACTGGTAGGGGGTCCTTGAGGGCAAGGTTGAGAACCCCTGCTCTAGGCCAAAGTAGCCCAAATTGTGAAATTTCTCCAGTTCAGCTCACTAGCCTCCCAAAATGGGTCTTTTTAAAACCAAATTTCCCTAGGTCCGCATTCTGCTCAATAGACCCATTACTATGAAATCCATAGTATGCAACAGGCTGCCAGAAAACACCAGCTGATGCCAAGTTTGAAATGTGCAAAGATTCTTATCCAAATGGGCCGTGCATCGATAGCTCACACACTAAAAAGAGAGAGAATTAGGTCTTCAGCCAAACCATTCCACAACTGTAGGAAGTAGAACTCCATTGGACTATTTTTATACTCTCTAGTTGGTACCTACTACGTACATGATACATACAGGGTTATTTACTGAACTGAGATTTTAAGAATTCAAAATACATTGAAACGGAATTACAAACTTAATGCAAAAATAGCCAACCTGGTAGCACAGCTAATTTTGGACAATCCTAACTTTACTGAATAACTGATAAAGGCTCAGATTTACATAACTGGAGTAAGTTAATGGTGTTTGGGTAGAAAACCAGCTTTAGAATGTTCTGATTGGATTTGAAATTTGACACAATTTCCTTTTTCTAAGCAACCTCTAGTGCCACCTGAAGGTAGCAGTGGGTACTGCAAAACCTAAAAGCTTTTTCCAAAATGCAACATATGCAATGTGAACATTTTTATAGAATCTGTGAACGTGACCAGCGTTCGGCTTTCACAGACCAATTCTTGTAGACTGACACTGGAGATTGTATTTTCTGTAGCTGAAGTAACACACTGTTCTATTAAACTGTAATTTTGTTTTGCCCTTGTAACATGTAATTTGTCTGTCTGGTTAAAATGTTATTACAGGAGTCTAATGATGCAGCCATGTTATGTTACAGAGAAACTATCACCAAAAAAAAATAAAAAAAAATCTAATTTTGTTTTGCACTTAAAATAATCCTTCTAGCCTTGAACGGTTTTATTGATCTGCAATTTCTTAAGAATAAGGGGTCATTCACATCACTGGATTTCCCACAATGCAGCAGGAGACTGCAATTTGCTATAATCTAGCAGTCCTAGTTATGTGAGAGAACATAGAGGTCTTCAAAGGTCTCCTAATAAAATGCCTGTGTGGGGTAGTGAGAGTCTATTTCAAGTCCTACTTTTCGCTCAGTAGAACATTTGATATGGTTTTTCAGTAAACTATGAAACGGAGAATGGAGTTGGAAAAAGGCAAGGTTTTAGACAAAATAGATCAAATCTGAGAATTCTCCAAAAATGGTTTATTCTGCTTGTGAATTTGCGAGCTGATCAATTCTGCATTGAGAATAATCTACATGTAGTCTTATGTTATGTTGATACAAGCGATAAATTCCGCAGCACTTTATAGTAGGTGGATTGTGTCCATGGCTCAATAAAAGCCACGGTTTGTTTGCAGACTACTGAAGATAAAATAATGATTCAAATTAGCAGATTATAGCAATAAATCTCCTGCTTTATCAGTGGTTTTATTGGTAGTAATAGCTACATGTGTATACAGACAGATAAGGGAGAGAGAGTCTGCAAAGCAGTCTTTATGTAGAATTTCACCAAACGTTTCCTAAAACTACTGTATAGTTGGTGATGGTTTCTCTTTAAACATTTATCCATCTGCAACAGAAACTCCTATACACCCAATTTGGGGAGTTCAATGTTTAGCTCCATATTGCACTCTATGTACTGGGAGCCATTTTTAAAAGGCTCAGTTAATGTATTCCTTGCAGTAGCAACCCAAACAGATTACCAAAGCAATAACTTTCCAAAACGCTTTGCAATCAGAGGGGGCTTGAAATTACCCCTCTCACTCACTGTAAAGGTAAATCTGAAACATTCTCTATAAATTCCTACATTGCTGTGTACGACAATGTATAAAAATCCATGAACATTTGTCTGGCTACAGACAGGTATTCAGGACATAGCACTTAAATAACTGAACTGTTTTATGGATGTTATTTTATATTTTTTATTCCCTTTTTCATGTTATTTTTGGTGTGGGGGAATTATAACTCTTACCAATAATCTGCTCAGACCGTTCCATGTATTTGTATGAACATTGTTTTTTTTGTTAACCTCTTGCAACCATTGGACATCCAGACAAGCTGCGATAGTCCCAGTACTGACTGTCCAAATAATAGATTAAGTGATTGTTTGCCTTGCGAGAGAGGACTGTGACCTGTCGCGGAGCAATGGCTTATTGTCCCCTCTGGCAGGAAAAGGGTTAATGGGTTGTGGTACTTTATTTCTGTATTACAAAACAAACCATAAAATAAAATAAAAATATAAAAAAAACTTTAAATAAATGCCAAACTTCTGGAACATTGCTGTATTCTGTGCCTGGTTTATTTGGATTCTGTGTCAGCCGTTCATTTTATAAACTCCAATATCAGTATCTGCCAATAGTGTGGGAATGTATCTCATGTCTTACTGAACACAACCGTTCTGTGAGCCGACAGACTACATGACACCTTCTCCAACTTTTGGCTATAGTTACAGCTTAGAGTTGTAAGGAATTCATATGATGTCCCTTTATCGTCAACAAAACAACTTAAGCTTAATGAAGTAGTGTATGTATGTATATATAATATGTTAAAAATCGCTTAACTTTCAATTTACAGAGCAGGAGATAAAGACTTCTACTACAAATTAGTATTTGAAAAAATTAAACATTGTATTCATGCAGGCTGTGTCCGTCACAGCCAGGGGAGGTGTGGCTAGGGCGGCTTAAACAAAGTGATTTTTTTTTTTTAACCCCTAAATGGCAGAGAATTGGGCAGTGAGAGTGCAGGGGCCCAACCTATAGGACAAAACTGCTATGAACTCTCTAGATCCAGAGGAAAGTACCAGCCCCTTAAATTAATAAATTGTGAAGTTTGCGCCCTGGCTATCTATTCGAGAATACAGTCTGCTAGGGGTCCTGCCTCAGCTTTTTATTTGTATTGACAGAACATGAAAATCCTGCCCTTCATATCTTTTTACCTGATCTCACGTGAGTCTAGCAGGACATATACTCTGGCTGATCCTGGGTATGTCCTGCGACTATGATCTAATGGCCGGACACATTAAGACCCTTCCTTACTAGCCACACACTTTGATAAATCTCCCCACCTGTGTCTGCACTGCTAAAACCATCGCTAAGCTCAGAGTCTAATAGAAACATACCCCAAGAGAGTACACATAGAAACATAGAATGTGACAGCAGAAGAGAACCATTCGGCCCATCTAGTCTGCCCAGTTTTCTAAAAATGGTTTATTCTGCTTGTGAATTTGTCCCTGGGATAGCCTTATGCCTATCCCACGCATGCTTAGACTCCTTCACAGTGTTAGCCTTCCAGCTGAAGTGGTAGAAGTTATTCCATGCATCCACTACCCTCTCCGTAAAGTAATACTTCCTGATATTTTTAAACCTTTGTCCCTCTAATTTAAGACTATGTCCTCTTGTTGTGGTAGTTTTTCTTCTTTTAAATAAGTCTCCTTTACGGTGTTGATTCCCTTTATGTATTTAAATGTTTCTATCATATCCCCCCTGTCTCGTCTTTCCTCCAAGCTATACATGTTAAGATCCTTTAACCTTTCCTGGTAAGTTTTATCCCGCAATCCATGAACCAGTTTAGTAGCCCTTCTCTGAACCCTCTCTAAGGTATCAATATCCTTCTGAAGATACGGTTTCCAGTACTGTGTACAATACTCCAAGTGAGGTCTCACCAGTGTTCTGTACAATGGCATGAGCACTTCCCTCTTTCTACTGCTAATACCTCTCCCTATACAACCAAGCATTCTGCTAGCATTTCCTGCTGCTCTATTACATTGTCTGCCTACCTTTAAGTCATCAGAAATAATCACCCCTAAATCCCATTCCTCATATGTTAAGGTTAGGACTCTATCAAATATTCTGTACTCTGCCCTTGGGTTTTTACGTCCAAGATGCATTATCTTGCACTTATCCACATTAAATGTCAGTTGCCACAACTCTGGCCATTTTTCTAGTTTACCTAAATAATTTGCCATTTGGTTTATCCCTCCTGGAACATCAACCCTGTTACATAGTTTATTGATAAGCCTTCTATCTGCAACAGTGTCAAAAGCTTTACTGAAATCTAGGTAAGCAATGTCTACTGCACCACCCTGATCTATTATTTTAGTTACCCAATCAAAAAAAAAAAAAAAAAAACAATACGGTTAGTTTGGCATGATCTCCCTGAAGTAAACCCATGTGATTTTAGATGTTCAACAATCCTATCCTTTAACATGGTTTCCATCACTTTCCCCACTACTGCAGAAAGACTTTTTGGCCTATAGTTGCCTGACTCCTCCCTATTACTTTTCTTGTGAATGGGCACAACATTTGCCAATTTCCAATTTTCTTGGACTACTCCTGTTAATGATGGTTGAAGGGACACTGTAGGCACCCAGACCACTTCAGCCCATTAAAGCAGTCCGGGTGCCAACTCCCATCACCCTTAACATGTCATTATTGCCGTTTATAAAAACTGCAATAATTACCTTGCAGGGTTAAGTCCTTATCAGACAGCCACTAGAGGGACTTCTGGATTCTTAGACGACTTCTGGTCGTTTAAACCAGTGTTCCCCAACCCAGTCCTCGTGGACCACCACCAGTCCAGGATTTATGTATTTCTCTGTTTTATTCCAATGGAGATACTGACAAAACCTGGACTGTTGGTGGTCTATGAGGTCTGGGTTGGGGTACAATGAGGACCTCCAGCTTTGCCAGAATCCCCATAGAAAGCATTGAATAATGCTTTTCTATGGGGAGATCCTAATGCAAGAGCGGCCATTGCCACGCATTACACACTAGGTCTCCCCTGACGGTGGGGGAGGAGCGTGGGCGGGGCAGAGTCAGCGCCGAGGGACATCGGCGCTGGATCCGGGCAAGTGACTGAAGGGGTTATTAACCTAATTCAGTTCTGCGGGAGGGGGCCTTGACAGAAGAGGAAGCTACAGTGCCTGGAAAATTGTTTTCCTGGCACTATAGTTTCCCTTTAAATAAATCTGTTAATGGTTTTGCTAGTACATCACTAAGCTCTTTTAATAGCTTTGGGTGTATTCCATCAGGTCCCATTGACTTATTTGTCTTTACTTTTGACAGTTGAAATAGAACCTCTTCCTCTGTAAACTCACGTGTAATAAATTACTAATTTGTCCTTTTTCTTAACTGAGGTCCTTTTCATCTGTAAATACAGAACAAAAATATTCATTGAGGCAGTCAGCTAGACCTTTATCCTCTTCTACATACCTTCCTGCTTTTGTTTTTAATCTAACATCCTTGTTTTACTTTAGTTTTCTCATTTATGTATCTGTGCTATTTTCTCTTGTGTGTGATTTGGAAGCGCTTATAGCTTGCATAGCCTCTTTCTGCCTAATCTTATAGATCATTCTCTCACTTTTTATATAATTGTAGATTATGCTAGCTTTAGTGTACCTATAATCTTAATTTTATTAATGACAGGAGGCGAGTATTTGCTTTAGTCTCTCTTTACTAGAACTCCACAGCAGCACAGAAAAACAACCAATCAGAAAAAAGTTAGGTACTATAAAACCCCCTTCCCATTGCATCATTTCCTCTTTCAAGCTGCGACAAAACAGAACAAAGGCAGAAAAATAATGGGAAGCAACGAAGTCCAGATACGATGAATACAGCAATGTCCAACGTCTGAGAAGAACTGTCAACCGGATAGCGTTGAAGGACTGAAAATAAGTCAATGCCCACCATCCACGAAGAAGTGCCACGCCAGATAGTGGTGAAGGACTGGAAACTGAAACGAGAGAAAAAACAGAATCGAACAGGTTGATTATCCAATGAAATGTATTTTGAATAAACTTGTAGATAACCAATGTAGCAAACGAAATATGTAGATATCCCAACCTTGCTTATGAAAAACAGACATAAGGACAGGTGACAGGTAGCAGAAACAACAACAAGCAGAGTTGTATACGTACCTGATAAATCCAAACTATAAAATTAAACAAGGGAGGGATAAGAATGGGTGGGAAATACTCGCCTCCTGTCATTAATAAAATTAAGATTATAGGTACACTAGCTAGCATAATCTACAATTTTATAACATGACAGGAGGCTTCGTATTTGCTGTTTTAACGCTCAGCCAACAAATCCAACGCTGCTTGTTTCGCTGGTACCCATTCCGAGAATATTAGAGCAATCCTAAATGGACCTTCCAACTGCGAGAAGTGACCTCCATTGATAGATCCATTGTACGTGGGGTTACAACCTGTTCCCTAGCAGTCGGTCCATGGGCTGTCAAGTTAACCTATTAGCCATAGTCCTGTAGGTGTAAAGTGCCGAGGGGTCGCGAGAAGAGACTTCCACCGTGTCTCGACTCTTGATGTGGGAGGTGATTCCTCCGATCGTGTCAGGTCCACCAGGCGATGTGGCCTTGCAGACAAAACTCCAACCTCAGGCCTGCTCCTAAGTCCACCGTCAATACTCGAATAGAGCCGAATAGTGTCTATTCGTTCCTTTATGACCTACCTGGTGAATGGTCTCCTCTGAAATCAAGTTATATACAGATAGTGTGGACCATACTAGCCGTATCCTAAGAGACTCCAGTCTACCAACTGGACTGCGTAATCCACGGCTGCGGTCTAGAAAAGACATCCAAAGGGTGTCAAATCAAGGTCTCAAACTGAACTCGTGTGGTAAACGGTGGTCAACTATTCTGAGAATTGTGGATCCTGGAAAGCTCAAAGGGATGGGACTGGAAACTGGAGTTGAGATTTCTATCCAAATACATCATCCTCTAAGAGTGCTAAGGTGGTCGGATCCAATAGAGTTTAGGACCCGTATAACACAGAAGAGCCCTTGCGTGTTGCAGTGAGAGTGTGAGATACTCTGATTACCATTTGTACAATCCTGTTCCATGCCCGACCTGTCAATATTCGTGTAGGGGTTCCTACAAGATAGGGAATAATCTAGTGAGACCCCTAGGTTCCTGTCTCATAGACTGTCCAAACATGTAACTCCCAGTGTATGTTTCCTTGATGGTAGTTGAATAGGAAGGCTAGTGAGAACCCAAACCAAGATGGTTCCCGTGATGGATATAGAATCCGAACACTGTTCTCAAGGTGTGTTCAGAGTTGTAGGAGCAGTCCTGACAACTTTATCTCAAGATTGTAAGGACCAGGGAGCCAAGTCCTGAGAATTTCGGTTTCTCCATGCGATCCATGCATACGGTGCCCCTGAAGACAGTTTATGTGAATTTTCCAGTCTTGTTACTCGAGCAAGGCAGTGCCCGTTTGCCCTATGCAGGTCTCAGGGTCTCATGTCACCCTGACACGGGAGAAT